AAGCAAGAGCCATACCCGTGTGCATGCACTCATGTGAAAATATCACACACACTAAATTGCATTGAGGCCGTGACAACATGCAACTTAGTAATGTGCAATATCTCCACCAGAGCAAGCAGAATGGGAGCATCGGGGAAGAAGGGTGTGATGTACACATTCAGGAGACAACATGCTGCTAAAGGGAGGAAAATGGTTTGGGAAAAAGGATGCATGCCACCAACTCAAAAACTTATGAAATGAACACCCAATCACAAGTGTATTCCACTTAGAATACATATTCAGAATTAAAATAATAACTAAGTTTCAAAAATTCAGCAAGACAGAAAGGCATCACAAGTTTCAAACTTCAAGAACAGACACTTTCACTGGTCATGCAGTCCCACCACTTCAGTTACATTTTTAACTTACTGATGGATCATATCAGCAACAGCTACGTTGACGGTGATTACTGACTGGTGCTTAAAACTCTGATATCACTGATAATTTTCAGACTAAACTGCACTTGGAGGGCATTACAATGTTTGCATAATAATTTGGATCTTTTTTCCTCTTAGAATCTTCCTCTATGAAGAAACATACTGCTTCTTGAACACAACCCTTCAGAATGAGAAATGTGACAAGAGCTCTTAGAACTCACTGCTACATTGTTTATACGGGAAGACTCCTCCAGAGGAACATATATTGAACCTGTAAATTTTAATTTGTTAGTATGATCCAGTTAAAAAAAAATTAGTCCAAAGGACTTGCACTGCAAAAATTTCACCTTGGGGCCAAGTATAGTGGTGCAGTAGATTAAACCACCGCTTAGAATGCCCACATCCTAGAAGATCTCCCTCTCTCTGACACTCTGCCTTTCAGATCAATAAATAAATCTTTTTAAAAATTTTTCTAGAAGGTCCACATCCTAGATCAGATTGCCAGTTTGAATCATGGCTACTTCATTTCTGATCCGTCTTCCTGCTAATGTGCCTTAGAGGCAGAAGACAGCCCAAGAACTTGGGTTCCTACCACCCACGTGGGAGATTCAGCTGGAGTTCACGGCTCCCGGCTTCAGCCTGGCCCATCCCTGGCTGTTGTGACTATTTGAGAAGTAAATCAGTAGGTGGAAATTTTCTCCTCCGTCTCTCCCTGTCACTTGGTCTTTCAAATAAATAAATCTTAAAAAAAAAAAAAAAAAAAAAACAAACCTTGAATTATAATCTTTAACTAGGGGCCAGCGCTGTGGTGCAGCGGGTTGAAACCCTGGCCTGAAGTGCTGGCATCTCATATGGGCGCTGGTTCTAGTCCCGGCTACTCCTCTTCCGATCCAGCTCCCTGCTATGGCCTGGGAAAGCAGTGGAAGATAGTCCAAGTCCTCTGCACCCATGTAGGAGACCCGGAAGAGGATCCTGGCTCCTGGCTTCGGATCAGCACAGCTCTAGCTGTTGCAGCCATCTGGGGAGTGAACCAGGAGATGGAGGACCTCTCTGTCTCTACCTCTCTATATAAGTCTGTCTTTCAAATAAATAAAATAAATCTTTAAAAAATTGTCGCTCCCCCTCTTCGTGGAGGAACGACACTAAACCCTGCCTAGGCTTCATATCCGAGTCACGGCACCATTATGTCGCTCCCCCTCTTCGTGGAGGAGCAACACTGAACCCTGCGCTGTTCTTTTTGTCTGCTCGGCCCTCCCCGGGTTTGCTGCTGGTTCTTCCCGGGTTGGCTACTATCCCTTCCACCTCCGTGGAAGGGCAGTTCCCCCTGGCCACATTCCCCACTTCCGCAGGGGAGCGGCACACCGCCGACCGGCTCTTCTCGGGGGCTGCACAGGTGTTCCTTCAGCTAGATGTTCCCCATAGATGTTCCTGGTGCATGCCGTCTCTCTCCTCCTTTATAGTCCTCCTCCGCCAATCCCAACTCGGCTGCCCACACGCCGAGTACGCTGCTCTCCTCCAATCAGGAGCAAGTCCTACAGTTTATCAGTTGAACTGGAGGCAGCTGTGCGGAAGCTGTTTACTTCTCTCCCAGCGCCATATTGTGGGAGAGCAGATGCATAGAATAAGTCCTAATTCCAGTAACTCAGTCCAGTCCGGATTGCTCCCCACAAAAAATAATATCATCTTTAACTTAAATAATTTTATACAGTTTTGGTTAGAAAAATGGCTTAGGCCATAACACATTATCCAGATTATACCACATTTATTAGACTCACAATAATCTATCAGCTTTGGAAACCATTAGGATTATAGTGTTGGCACTTAGGATCCTTTTGTTTTGTTTATTAAAAATAAGGTGACAATAAAATGAATGGTTTTTATCTCATTGTACATAGGTTCCTGTGATAGTGCATAATCAGTGTGTACTCCCAAGAAGATAAGGCAAGTCTGATTTGAAAAATAAATATTCCCTCATATGGATGACAGCACTCTCTAATCTCAGATTCTCCCCCAAGAGAAAGACCTACAAGCCCAGCAGCCAGTTTTATGTGTCCACTTTAAGGGTCTGAGCAACACTACAAACTTATGACTGTCTCCCCCAGTCAGCTCCTCCTGGAAGAAGGTGCAACGACACAGACCTCAGGGCAAACCACAGCTCCACGGACCTCCCATGTGCAACTGTGGCACGAAGGAATGAAGCTTAAAACAACAAAGGTGGGAACTCAATGGCAGACATTCACTGGATAGTCAGCAAGTGGCTGACTCTGAGAAAGTGGAACAAGAGAAAATTCAGGAGCCATGGATGGAAAATAGAAGAGATTTTGTGAGAATGAGTCAGTGCTAATGTAGCTAACTCTGGGGAAAGGAAGCATGCTCTTTCTAGAAGCTCTTTATGGACAAGGTATCATTCTCTGTAAGGCTTGGCATCAAACTGATAAGAGGATTCTTGCCAGCTTTTGCTATGGCAGATTCAATAGCTTCAGCCTTGTTGGGAGGGGAGAGGTTATTTGTCTTTTCTACAGAGCATTTGCATAAACCTTTTTTAAGATAGAAAGATACCCCTCAGACAAAAGATAGTCTATTGCTGGAATTTCATCCTCTCATTGACTAAGGATGATAACCAAAGGTCACAGAGAAGGGGTGCAAGCTTTATGTTCCCCTGAAAACAGCGGCATCCTCCAGACTGTCACACTGGATGACATGCTCCAAACCTGGAACCTTTAGATGAGGGAGAGCCTCCACACGGATATCTGGGAGTGCAGTGGAGGTGATACAGAGTTTTCCATTCCACCTGAAGTCCAACCAAAAAAACAAGACATTGGTGAAAGTCTGACCTATTCCTTGCTAGTAGGAAAAAGAAAACCTACTACCGAAAGGAAGCCCAGAGTCTCCAAGAATGATCTGTGTTAGCAGCATACACCCCACCTGAATGCAACTGAGGGTTTCCTAGAGCAAAGTGGTATTCTCTCTAGCTCTGACATGAATATAGTGAAATCAGTCAGGAGGGATGACAAGATCAAATCAAGTTTTCTGAAATGGAGGCCAGTGTTGTGACTTAGCAGGTTAAGCCACCACCAGCAACACCAGAATTCCATATGGGCATCAGTTCAAGTCCCTGCCACTCCACTTCCAATCCAGCTCTCTGCTAATGCACCTGAAAAATCAGCAGAAGATGGCCCAAATTCATGGGTTCCTGCACCCATGTGGAAGACCTGGACATAGTTCCAAGCTCCTGGCTGTGGCCTGGCCCAGCCCTAGCCATTGCAGCCATTTTTGGAGTGAATCAGCACTCTCTAATCTGCCTTTCAAATAAATAAAACTTAAGGAAAATAAAACAGGCCGGCGTCACAGCTCACTAGGCTAATCCTCTGCCTGCGGCATCGGCACACCGGGTTCTAGCCCCAGTCGGTGTGCCGGATTCTGTCCCGGTTGCTCCTCTTCCAGTCCAGCTCTCTGCTGTGGCCCAGGAGGGCAGTGGAGGATGGCCCAAGTGCTTGGGCCCTGCACCTGCATGGGAGACCAGGAGAAGCACCTGGCTCCTGGTTTCAGATCAGCGCGGAGTGCCGGCCACAGCACACCGGCCACAGCGGCCATTGGAGGGTGAACCAACGGAACAGGAAGACCTTTCTCTCTGTCTCTCTCTCACTGTCCACTCTGCCAGTCAAACAAACAAACAAACAAACAAAAAAAACAAAAAAACCCAACAACAACAACAACAAACAGAAATGCCAGCCAGATTCACCATTTAAGAGAAGTTTAAGACCACCTAGCTAATTAATAACTTATTAGAAAAAGGTACTGCATTGGATAATGTGAGAGTTTGAGTTTGACAAGAGGTAAAAATGTAGCTTTATTAATGAACAAAATGACAGGGACTAGGGGAGCAGCTGAGAGAGGCATAACCTGCAAAAGGCCTCTCCTTACCAGAAACAATGAAGAGGAAAAATGAAAGAAGGCCAAGAGCGATTGACTCAAGAAAAGTTCACAGAGAGTAAAAAGTGCACATGAATCTCATTCAGCAACAGTCTTCAATACATGGACTACTGAAGGCATGATGGGAGTTTCTGGCCAGAGCCCACAAAGCATGCACAACTTGGAGATAATGCAAGACCATTGCTTTCTAGTACCCAATCCACTTGTGCTGAGGCAAAGTCTGGCTGCAGATGGAGGGAGGAAGAATCAGGGAGGCCAGGATTCCACCCTGCCTCCCAGAGCAACGCTAGAACACTGAGAACACAGGAGGCTACTGAGAGGATAGCAGGGTGAGGGTGGCAGGGGAACTCTCTCAAGCAAGTCAAGTGGTGGTGAGAGCCAGGCTAGGGGCCTGCTGATGGACGGCTGAGGCAGACAGCCCATTGCATCTTCGTTAGTCGCAGGCTTGAGCGACCTCGAAACTGCTTCGATTTTGTTTCTCACTGACATTTGCACCGCTCATATCAGTCTCTCAAAATGAGGTGAGCATCTTAAAAATCCCAGTCATTCACTGCTTTAGCATTGACAGTTACCAGGAAACTCAAGACAGAACACTGGCTGCCCATGGAAAGCAGTCCCTGAAGGAAATGAGAGCATCAGTGTCGTCCTTACCTGATAGCTTCCTCCACAGACTGGCCAATAATATTAGACGAGGGGCCTGGCTGAGAGAGCGGCGTCAGGCTTATCACCCACTTCACTGGCTTGTAGTACTCATCACTGGAACTTAACAGATAAAACAGTGTGGTCAGGAAAATGACCTGCAAAACAAAGCACAGTTTCTCCTAAAAACTCACATTGGATACGACAGGCAGACCACCTCTGCAAATGCAAAACAGAACCAAGAGCACACCCCACCAGGGAAGGAAGTATGATTCGCCCTTATCTAGCGTACGTACCAGGGAGAGCACGAAATTGAGCAGGGCAGTCCCGCTGTAGAAGAGGATGGTCAGGAGTGTGGTGACCGTGGTGAAAAGCAGGCTCACGTTCCGGCTCATAACAATCCACAGAGACTCCAGGATCTGAGCAAGAGGGAAGGCTGGGTGTCAGAACTGACCCTCAACAAAGATGTTTCTAGAGCCATCTGCTGTGCTTTTCATACAGTCTTTTGTTTTAAAGATTTGTTTTATTTATTTGAAAGACAGAGTTACAGAGAGAGGTAGAGACAGAGAGAGAGGTTTTCCATCTGCTGGTTCACTCCCCAAATGGCCACAACGGCCGGAGCTGTGCCGATCCGAAGCCAGGAGCCAGGTGCTTCTTCCGGGTCTCCCACGCAGGTACAGGGGCCCAAGGACTTGGGCCATCTTCTACTGCTATCCCAGGCCATAGCAGAGAGCTGGATTGGAAAAGGAGCAGCTGGAACTAGAACTGGTGCCCATATGGGATGCCGGCGCTTCAGGCCAGGGCTTTAACCCGCTGCACCACAGCACTGGCCACTTCCTACAGTCTTTTAAGTATCTTAAACTCAAAAGACAAGAACTGAGGATTATCCTAAATGAAAAAAAAAATCAACTGAAAACATCGGTATGTTCAATAGTAAGAAAAATGGTTAAGTAAAATATAGGGAATTCACTTCAAATAATATTAGTCATCAAAAATATCTCTACTAAAATCTAGGAAAGCACTTTATGATATAACGCTACGCTTAGAAACCAGAATATAGGGGCTAACATTACAGTGTAGTGGGTAAAGCTGCATCTGAAATGCCAGCATCACATATGGACACCAGTTCAAGTCTCTGCTGCTCCACTTCCAATCCAGCTCCCTGCTAATGGCCTGGGAAAGCAGCGGAAGATGGACCTAGTACTTAGGCCCCTGTCAAGTGTGTGGGAGACCCGGAAGAAGCTCCTGGCTCCTGACTTCAGCCTGGCCCAATCCCAGCTCCTATGGGTATTTGGGCAGTGAACTGGATGATGGAAGACATCTTTCTGTCTCTCCCTCTCTCTCTTTCAAATAAATCTTCCAAGTCCTTGGGCTCCTGCACAATATAAGAATTTTACACTTTGTCTGTTTGTAACTATGTAAAAATGGCATGAATGGAAAAAAATATCTACAGGAGAAAATGCCAGCAAACAACTGTGGTGGTTATATTTGCCCTAGAGGATCATAGACACAGGTCACAAAGTGCTAGCATTTGTCTTATTAGGTGCCTACCCTCTATCATCCCCACGACCAACCTGGATTCATCAACCAATATAAAAAGCATCACTGATATAATTTATTGAAATCACAATAAAAGTAATGAATAGGCAGGGTTAAAGGCAGAGCTCTGCTGAAAATCATTCCTGACACAGCAACAACTATGATACTCAGACCTAATGAGTTTAGCTGACCCATCACCTACTAATTCACAAGAACCACATATGGAGACAGAAGTTATTAAAAGGAAGATGTACAATGTTTACAGCATACAGGCATGTTTCCAGTTCCTATCTCTTTGTGAAACTGACATCCCTTATGTCTGTTCTATTCTTCCCAAGTGGATTTCCCTTCCTCCTAATAAAAACATGGCAGCAAAACAATTAGGAAAACTCCTTCTGTAAGAGTTTTCAAAATGCTTCCACAAACCGCAGCACAATGCAGTGAGCACAGCAAGGCAGGTGATATCATCTCTGTTTGACAGGTATACAAACTGAAGCTCAGAGATTTTTTTAAAAACTTGCCCATGGGCACAGAGCTAAGAAGCAGAAACAGAGCTGGGACCAGAACTCATAATGTCTGATTTTATTTTGGGGCCATACACAAAACAGCAGCACTGCTTTCTGTCACATGTCCAGTCTATGCCATCTGTTCTGTGAAAGGCCTACCCATTCCATTCCTGCTTCAAATGCACCATTTATAAAGGCACATTTTGTTGCCCTCCACATTTCTTGCAAATCTCAGCTCAGTCTTTAGAAGAGAACTTCAGTAGGCTGGTTTCATTTACAAAAACTCCTTACATAAAAATCCTGAAAATGTTTCCCAATGCCTACAAAAATATGCATGACTGACCATTTGACCTTGTGGGATAACGAATGAATGAACAACACCACTGATTCCAAGAAACAAACCAACAATGCCTTTACTTGTGATTTTGACAAGCAGTCTTTTGGGGGCTTCAGTCATTCTGGAATTTTTCATTAAAAAAAATTAAATAGTTTCTGAGTCACATTGATCGAAAACTCCCTGTGGTAATTCTTCAGAAATTAACCAAATTACATTAATTGTAGATGTCAACAACAATCAAGGAACTTTATTTGAAAGAAAGAATCATCTGGAGAAATTTTTTTGAGAGGACATCTCCAAGAATATTAACTAAGTCCTAAAGACAAAGTAGTTTTAGTGTATACACTGAGCTTAGAAAGGAGGAAATCAGTACAGGAAGGAGAAATAAGGCCCCTGAAACTGTGAAAACAAAATGCAACTGTGCAAAAAAAGGTACCCAAAAGCAGAAAACATGAGCCAAGTTGGGCGGCCTCACCATCTTCCAGCTGTTCTCACCCTTTCCTTCGAGCCTACCGCCTCTGATTATTAGTTTGGCCTCCCAGGTCCTCACTAAGAGCCATTAGCTTACCTTCTACGGAGCCAGTGAAGGCGTCTCAAAGGAAGCAGTTCAGGGGGAAAAAAGAGGAAGAACGGAACTGTGCAAGGATGCAGAAGTCCCAGCAGGAACGGGCTATCTCTCTCTGACTCGGAGAGCCTGCGCGCAGCCTGGAGACCATGTGAGTGCTGCTGTCCTTCCTTATCTGTCTATAAAGGAAGGAACTGGGCTAGGTGGACTCCAAACACCATTTCAACTCTGCCTCTGCGCTTCTAAACACAAACATCATTGTTGCCCAAGCTGTCATGTGCTTGTGCTTCTCAATTTCTCAGAGAACCTAACAGCATGCTAGATTCTAAAGTAGTGATAAATGAAATTCCATCCAGTTCCAAGAACTTAAAATCTAGTCAGGAAGATCAGGTACTAACATGAAAGTCAAAAACTAAAGAAGAGGGGGCAGGCGTTGTGGCGCAGCAAGTTAAGCTGCCTCTCAGGATGCCTGCACCCCTTTTCAAGCATCTAGTTACATGAACCAGCAGAAGGAAGGTCTCTCGCTTTGTCTCTCTCAATCTTGGTTTTTGTGGGCATTTGGAGAGCCAATAGATGAAGATGTCTCTCTTCCTCTCTCTCTCTGTTTTCCAAGTAAACTTTTTCTAACACTGAAAAAAATAAAGTAAAATATCTTCAAGTATCAAAAGAAGGGTAAAAATAATAAATGCAAAAGGAGTGTGAAATTAGGGGACTCTCAATGTATTCTGAAATACACGGGGAAGATTTCTCAAGCAGGATTGGCTCTCAGCAGCCTGTTAACTATGAGACTAAAAAAGAAAACAAAGCAAAGCAACTAAAACCATGAAAGTGTAGCTGAGACACACAGCCTCCTCCAGAGGAAGAAATACAAGTTGGACTGTAACATGACATTACATGAAAAGCTTGGCCTCTGGAGCCAAGGAAAGGCAAACAGAATTGAGTCCTGACTGTTACTTATGGCTAACAATTTAATACCTCTGAGCCCTTATTTTGTTATCAAAATAAGGAAACTACCTTGGCTTCACAGATTCTTTGGAAGAATTAAATTTGAAAATATTTATAAAGCACCTAGTAGGGCTGGGGCTGTGGTGTAGCAGGTAAAGCCACAGCATGCGGTGCCGGCATCCCATATGGGTGCTGGTTCAAGTCCTGGCTGCTCCACTTCCCATCCACCTCTCTGCTATGGACTGGGAAAGCAGTAGAAGATAGCCCAAATTCTTGGGCCCCTGCACCTACGTGGGAGACCTGGAAGAAGCTCCTGACTCCTGGCTTCGGATCAACGCAGCTCCAGCTGTGGCGGCCATTTGGGAAGTGAACCAGTGGATGAAAGACCAATCCCCACCCCCTCTGCCTCTCCTTCTGTGTAACTCTTTCAAGTAAAATAAATAAATCTTTAAAAAATGAAAAATAATAAAGCACCTAGCACAAAATTTTACAGAAAATAATTTGATATAAAAACCATTATATCATCTGTTCCCTGAACTCTCCACATTCAGTATTTAAATGTGTTGAGTATATGGGAAGTGTAACTTCCTTTTTTTTTTAAATACATAGTTATTTTAGTTTTGAAACCTGCCTATCCTTTTCTTAATAATCTATCAAATTTAGATGATCATTTTTCTGTATTATCTCTCTCTCTTAATTTTATTCAATAATGACAATTAGTAGCACATCCTTTAAAATTCAACTACCAAAGGAATTTTGGGAGAAACCAACAGTCACTATATTACTGGATGATGCAATATCTTGTATATGCACTGGGCATTAAAAAGTTGACTGCAAGGTCCTTGGAAGGGGATGAAACTGGGCTCTCCTACAGTCTGTTAGTTTTTCACTCTTAGGAAGAGATTACAAAGGGTCACTAAAAATTTAAGGACAGCCTAATGGAGGAGAAAGCAAAAAAACCTGAAAGAGATTGAGAGCAAACAAAGCAAAAACACCATTTTAAAACTTTTATTAGTAATAGAATAGAATAATTTTTAAAAATATGGTGCAGGTTAAGCCACTGACTGAAATGTAAGATCCCATATCAGAGCACAGGTTCAAGGCCTGGTTGCTCCATTTCCAATCCAGCTCCCTGGCATATGTGCCTAGGAAAGCAGCAGAAGATGGCCCATGTACTTGAAGCCCTGCCACCCATGTGGCAGACCCAGATAGAGTTCTTGGCTCCTGGCTTTGACCTGGACCAGCCCTAACCATCATGGCCATTTGGGGAATAAAGCAATGGATGGATACTCTCCTTCTCTGTCTTTCCCTCTCTCTGTCACTTTTGATTAAGTAAAATCTTTAAAAATATATATTTTTAATTTTTTTTTTTTTTTTTTTTTTTTTTTTTTTTTTTTGACAGGCAGAGTGGACAGTGAGAGAGAGAGAGACAGAGAGAAAGGTCTTCCTTTGCCGTTGGTTCACCCTCCAATGGCCGCCGCGGCCGGCGCGCTGCGGCCAGCGCACCGCGCTGATCCGGTGGCAGGAGCCAGGAGCCAGGTGCTTTTCCTGGTCTCCCATGGGGTGCAGGGCCCAAGCACCTGGGCCATCCTCCACTGCACTCCCTGGCCACAGCAGAGGGCTGGCCTGGAAGAGGGGCAACCGGGACAGAATCCGGCGCCCCGACCGGGACTAGAACCCGGTGTGCCGGCGCCGCTAGGCGGAGGATTAGCCTAGTGAGCCGCGGCGCCGGCCCTATTTTTAATTTTTTTTAAGGAGTGGACATTTTGGTCTAGTGGTTAATATGTCCATATCAGAGTATCTGAGTTGGATTCCCATCTTCAGCTCCTCACTCCAACTTCCTGCCAATGCAGACCCTGGGAAGTAGCAATAGTGGCTCAAGTAATTAGGTTCCTGCCACCTATGTGGGAGATTTGGATTGAGTTCCTGACTCCTGGTTCTGGTTCTGGCTCTGGCTCTGGCACTGGCCCAGTCCCAGCCATTGTGGGCATTTGTGGAGTGAACCAGCAGAAACTCCTTCTCTCTCTGCCTCTCAAAAAAAAACAGAAAAAAAAAATTTAATTAAAATATCCCACAAATAAATAAAAAAAGTCAGAACCTCAGAAAGAACAGCTGGATAATACAAGCATGATAGCAAAAATTAAAAACAATCAAGATTTGTAAAATTAAGTTCATAATATTTCTTAGGAAAAAAAGAAAAGATATTTTGAAAATTAAGGAATCCATCTCAGAGGCCCAACATCTGATCAAGGCATTTGAAAGTCAGACAAGTGGTTCTCAAAGTATGGTCTCCGGACAATCAGAGTCCCCCAAAACCTTTTGGAGGGTCTGCGAGGTAGAGCTATGTTTTTAAACAAGCCTGAAACATTTGCACTTTGACTGTGTTGACAGCTGCATGGATGGTGCAGAGGCAATCAATGGTGGATGAAAATGCTGGAGCTCCAGCAGGACACAAGGCAGTAGCACTCACTGCTCCAGGGTTCTCTGTACTTTTCACCACCTCAAACTCAGCACCAGCTTCCCTTAAGCGTGCCCCATATGCAGGCAGGCATTTGGCACAGTGGCTAAGTCGCTGCCTGCATCCTATATGGGAGCACCTGTCTTGAGGCCCAGCTACTCCACTTCCAACACAGCTTCCTGTTACCATGTACTCTGAGAGGCAGCGGGTGATGCTCAAGTACTTGGGTCCCTGCCACCCACATGGGTGACCCAGACGGAGTTCTAGGCTCCTGGCTTGAGCCTGGCCCAGCCCATGTGTTTTTCTGGCACTTGAGGAGTAGATCAGTGGATGGAAAATCTCTCTCCATCTGTCTCTCTACCTTTCAAATAAAATTAAAATAAGTAAAAATTTAAAAAGAATGTCCCCTTTGAAGAGGTCAAAATGACTGATTTTATTAACTATCAGTCAATCCTTGAGGGCTGTCTTTGAACATTCTGGGTGAATGTTTGCCTGCTGTTTGCCAAGGTCAAGCAGGCTGGAGGCAAAGCATGTGCACGACTAGGCTGGGAGCTGAACTAGTCCACCGACTCAGAGACATCATTTCTATGTAGAAGGACAACTGATGGACTTGGGTGTGGCAGAAATTTTCTCAAAAGTGAACAGAGCAAGCCTGTCACTTCAAGGAAAACAACTGACAGCATTTGTTGTCAGCAACAAAATTTGAGATTTCAAAAGAAAAAAAAATGTATATAACTTTACAAATTTTACATCGGTCACTGTGAGCTTAACAGCTTCTTAAAACATTTTTTTTTTCTGATAAGACAGGTGTTAATTAGTCAAGGACCTGATTTTCAAATATTGTTTCAGAAAAGGTTATTAAAAGAACCTCTCTTCTCTAACTTTCTGCTGTAAGGCTGGATTTTCTTTATCCATTCCAACCAGACCAACGTACTTCAAAAGACTGAATACAGAAGCAGATAAGAGAATCCAGACAATAAGCAGATTTGCAAAAATGTGAAAGGAAGCCATTCTTCTCACTTTTTTGTTTTAGAAAACCGTATTTTCTTTATGTTAACATGTAACGTTACTTAACAAACAAGTAAATATGCACTTTAGAGTCCTCAGACCAAAAAGTTTGAAAACCACTGGACTAGAAAAAACAGAGGAAAGGGATTATCAAAATCTGAAGGACAAGAATTTCTGAATTTAATTCCAAACTGTTACAGCTGCGTCGGGGAAAGGACGGGAAGGGCGTGAGTGCCAGAGGTGCTGTAAGAAAACTCAGGGGAGGCACAAGCATGGCGGGACTTGTACTTTACCTTCATCTTCCATAGTAGGAAGTCAAAAGATAACATCTAAAATGGCAAAACCAAGAAAGAGCAATACAAACATTATTTCAGAAATTCAGAGGTAAACATTCACAGAAGGCTAAGAGATGGACACTGCTCCTGGAGAATGAGACGGAGAGGCGGAGGCACAGAGGAGGCCATTGTTAATTTTTTTAAATAAAAATCTTACCGCACTGACTTTGCAGCTATGGTCAGGTATTACTTTGATAAAAATTAAATTTTCCGAAGAATCCAACATTGCCACCCTAGACTTTTGTAAATCTGACAGAAGCCATAATTTTATTCACAAGACAATTCTTTTTCTCTTTGTGAAAAGCCATGTGCCGGGACACTTGACAAGCGCACTCTGGATAATGAAGCGTGGTAATCAGTCCTCAGCAATGCTGCCAGATGGCACAGGTGCACGGAAGGTGCCCAGAGGTGGGGAAGTAGGTGGGGAGACAGCAGGATAAGCCATTGCACATTCCATCTCTCCCATGCAGCCGGAACAACTGTCGAGGGCTTTGCCCACCAGAAAGGCAGGTCCCTCAATAGTAGTCCAGCTGGGGACATCTGGTCACCTCAGAGGACACAGGTACCTAGTTGAGACTCGGAGGGCCTACAGTTCTCTAGGTTACTCTTCAACCACAGAAGAATCAGCTGAGATACACACCTAATGCCTATGGGTATCAGGTATCATTGCAGTGCATTTATAGAGTTCTCAAACCTGCAAATGTCAGGGTATTAAAAACAGGGTAACTGAAGACCTCAAAGTGTGTAAAAAGAACTTGGAATTTCTGTTTTTACTCTGAAGTCTAGTTTAATTACAAATACCATTTCTTACCGAAAGAAACGTCTCGATGTTCTCGTGAACAAAGGAAGCAATATCCTGCCAGTCCAGAATGTCCCCCAGCCAGCTGTTCTGACGACTCACATGCAGCTTGTGCCCTTTGTGCCTCCCAGAATGTGTGATGTTCTACAAACCAAACAGTTCAGAGGTGAAGTGCCCATCTTAATCTACAGAACACAAAGTGTAAACGAGCCATTTTGCTTCAAACTCACTTAAGCACTTCAGTAATGATTCAAAAGTAATAAGCAGGTTGTCATGGCCTCAAAAAATCCATGCGTAATTTTTTTCATATTACACATTTTCCACAAACTTTTTGAAAACCCTTTCAAATGCATGAATTTCAAAACATCTTGTACCAAAATAGATTTATCTTTTAATTCCATTGTCCATGATCTTTTTGAAGTTCCTGCATATTAATTATATTGAGACAGTGAATTAATGCCACTACTGCCTGAGTCTCTAGACAGTCTAACATGAAGCCATTGCAATATGCTTCTGTCTACAGCTCACGCCTAGTTCCAGTGGAAGACAGAGCTCTTCCCTTGCAACTCTCAACAGCTTTCTGGGTCTAAATGCTGGAGACTAACCAGCAACTCAAGCAGAGCGTTATGATCTGAGGCTTAAGACGTTGCCATTTAAAAACTTCAATAAATGAAAGTCCAGTGTTAATACTATCTAGGAGATCAGTCTAACTTTACAATGGAAAGCCTCAGCTAACACAACTCACCTTTACAAACCAAGAGTGATACAGTCTGTCCCAAAGTTCCAGTACTTGCTTTTCAATTACAGCAGTGTTGTTCATCTTATCTCCTAGAATTTTATGAAGCTAGAAAAAATACAGATAGAATCTGGTTTAATACTTCAAACCACAATCCAGTAAAATTAAACCCCCTGGTTCTGTATTTCCAGTCAATGTCCTTTCCTCTCTCATCTTTTTTTATTTATTTTCTTTTCTCTGAGAGAACTACTGGAGGGTACCAGAGAATGGGGGCACACAAATGCCATGAGTATCAGTGACTTATCTGATCCATCTGTGCAAAGAATCTTCCCTCTTACCTCAGCGCCCACCCAGTAAACGCAAGTCTCAAGTTACATTTATCGCTTTACCAAGAATTCACAGAACTTTAAGTAAAATGTCAGGGCCTTCACTATAAATACAAGTCCTTGTCTTAGTTTGATTGCCAAGAAGTCTGGTCTCAGATAGTGATGACTGGTCAGACTGGCTTCTGGGTTTGTGGGAATCAAGTTCAATGAGACAATGTGATTAGAGGAAGGCTACTGATTATATTATCTACCATTTCTTATTACTTAAACCATATTGTAATATTAAAAATTTTTCAATAATTGGTAACCAATTATTTATTCTTTTTTTTTTTTTTTTTAGTGAGAGAGTGGCCATTCTGCCATACTTGATTACAATATGTATTTACTGGGGACTGGCGCTGTGGCATAGAAGGTAAAACCACCACCTGCAGTGCCAGCATCCCATATGGGCACTGGTTTGAGTCCCAACTGCTCCACTTCTAATCTAGCTCTCTGGAATGGCCTGGGAAAGCAGTAGAAGATGGCCCCTGCACCCATGTGGGAGACCTGGAAGAAGCTCCTGGCTCCTGATCAGCACAACTCTGGCTATTGCAGCCATCCGGGGAGTGAACCAGTGAACAGAATGTATCTCTCTCTCTCTCTCTCTCTCTCTCTCTGCCTTTGCCTCTCTGTAACTCTGCCATTAAAATAAAATAAATAAATCTTTTTAAAAAATACGTATTTACTTACTTTTTGTCCACTTGATGTTGGCCCTAGAGATACCTGAACTAGTTATTAGACATCTTTGATGTAAATATGCCTTCATTATTTAATTAATTTATTCATAAAGGAAACACAAACTAGTAAATATAATAAAATCCATTTACCTTTGCAAAGTATTCTATATTCTATGACAACCCCAAGAGTTAGAAAAGACTTTGTCATCACCTTTGCTCTTTTAAGATGACAGAACAACTGCGAAGGGTCTATGACATGCCCAGGGTCATGCAGCTAAGTGGCAGAGTCAGGGTTAAAAGTTCTCTGATGTTCTTTCAACTACAGCATAGGCAGGCTATGAACAGATAACATCCAACAAAGAAAGTTACCCCAAATGATTAAAAGCCACAATTACTCAGAGTCTAACTTCCTTGGGTTACTTTGAATGCACCATGAAGGTCGGACCCGCTCATGACTTCCTACTACCAATCCTCCCTCTCTTGTCAGCCTCAGAGATGTCCTAACCAGAAGAGGCTTCAAACTGTCAGTCAGCCTTCAGTCCAGGCTGTCCAACCACAGTAGCCCATCTCTTTACACAGTGTCTCTCTCTCTCACCAGAGCGGTGAATAACTCTAAAATACCACAACTATTAAAGGAAAGGGCAGTCAGGCATAATTTCACATGTTATGAAACACTCCTTCCAAAACTGTGGTGCTGTCGACCACAAGGGAACACTCAGGCACAGGCTACTGTGAAGTCACAAGGAGAGCAGAGTCTAAGGGACTTATCACTGCTATTAGAAGCATCGCTCGCCGGTGCCGCGGCTCACTAGGCTAATCCTCCGCCTTGCGGCGCTGGCACACCGGGTTCTAGTCCCGGTCGGGGTGCCGGATTCTGTCCCGGTTGCCCCTCTTCCAGGCCAGCTCTCTGCTGTGGCCAAGTGCTTGGGCCCTGCACCCCATGGGAGACCAGGAGAAGCACCTGGCTCCTGGCTTCAGATCAGCGCGGTGCGCCGGCCGTGCCGGCCATTGGAGGGTGAATGAACGGCAAAAGGAAAACCTTTCTGTCTCTCTCTCTCACTGTCCACTCTGCCTGTCAAAAAAAAAAAAAGAAGAAGAAGAAGCATCGCTCAAGCACATGTACTGTTGGTGGTGGATGACAAGCTGTCTGCACATGAAAAAGCACGAAAGCATTAAGAGCTGTCAGGATGCCATCTGAAAACCCTCTAACCTAAGACAAATAACCTCATCTCTAGAACAGGACTGATACATGCCAGTGGGTAGTACTCTATAATCATCTTACCTTTTTTTTAAAAGATTTATTTTTTTATTTATTTGAAAGACAGAGTTAGAGAGGTAGCGACAGAGAGAGAGGTCTTCCATCCGCTGGTTCACTCTCCAGATGGCCGCAACGGCCAGAGCTGTGCAGATCTGAAGCCAGGAGCCAAGAGCCCCCTCCAAGTCTCCCACGTGGGCGCAGGGGCCCAAGTACATAGCCATCCTCCAATACCTTCCCAGGCCATAGCAGAGAGCTGGATTGGAAGAAGAGCAGCCGGGATTAGAACCGGCACCCACATGGACACCAGCGCCCCAGGCCAGGGCTTCAACCCACTGCGCCACAGCACTGGCCCCAGTCATCTTACTTAAAACCTCAGGGGCAGGGCAGGTGCTCAGTGCAGTGGCTAAGATGCCACTTGGATGGCACATCTCATATTGCAGTGAATGGGTTTGAATCCCAACTCCACTTCTAATTACAGATTCCTGTTAATGTGAATGCTGGGAAGGCAGCAGATGATGGCTCAAACACTTGGGTTCCTGCCACCCACGTGAGACCCACATGGGAATGAGCTACTGGCTCCTGATTTTAGCTTGGTACAGTCCTGGATATTGCAGGCATTTAGAGAGTAAAACAGAAAATGGAAGGCCTCTGTCTGTCTCTGTCTTTCAAAGAAATAAGTTTTTTCTTTTTGAAAGATTTATTTAGTTATTTGAAAGTTATGGGGGTGAGGGAGAGAGAAAGAGATCTTCCACCCACTGGTTCACTCCCCAAATGGCCCCAGGGCTGGGGCTGGGCCAGGAGCTTCTTCCAAGTCTCCCATGTGGGTGCAGGGGCCCAAGTACTGGGCCATTTTCCACTGCTTTCGCAGGCCATAACAGAGAGCTGGATCAGAAGTGGAGCAGCCGGGTCTCAAACCAGTGTCCATATGGGAAGCCAGCACTGCAGACAGCAGCTTCAACCCACAGCGCCAGCCCAAAGTAATGTTTTTTAAAAAGAAAGATCATACCGAGCAAAAAGTTCAAGCAAGTATGTTGAGTGAGGAACACAAACAGGGAAGCCCTGAGTAGAACCCAAACACTATGCAGTGTTCACAGGACACAAGGGTGAGGGCGGACAGGCAGGAACCTTCTCTGTTCTTCGCCACGCACACTCTAAAACACTCTCCTTTTCTGGGCGTGACAATTCTTCTCTAGCTTCTGCCCACACTAGACTTTAGCTCTTGTAACCCAATTCTTCTGAGTCTTAGCTGGATAAGATCTCAGGCTCCTTTTGAAAGCTACCTCTCCAGTTTCAACGGTTGCTTTGTTTAATAATTTTACTGAGATATCATTCACACACTTTGCAATTCACCAAGTATGCAATTCAAGGGTTTTTAAAAGATTCATAGTTACATAACCATTACTACTGATTTTAAAACATTTTCTGGCCAGCACCGTGGCTCACTAGGCTAATCCTCCACCTGCGGCACCGGTACCCCGGTTTCTAGTCCTGGTTGGGGCACCGGATTCTGTCCCGGTTGCCCCTCTTCCAGGCCAGCTCTCTGCTGTGGCCTGGGAGTGCAGTGGAGGATGGCCCAGGTCCTTGGGCCCTGCACCTGCAAGGGAGACCAGGAGAAGCACCTGGCTCCTGGCTTTGGATTAGTGCAGTGCACCGGCCGTAGCGGCCATTTTGGGGGTGAACCAGCGGAAGGAAGACCTTTCCCTCTGTCTCTCTCTCACTGTCTAACTCTGCCTGTCAAAACAAACAAACAAACAAACAAAACATTTTGTTTACCCCAAAAGGAAGCTCCACATCAATTCTCTGCCCTACCCTGTCTCACAGGCAGCTAAATTTCTCCTAACCCGAGGGACCACTGCTTGTGTTCTGCCTCCACGTACTTGCCTCCCCTGAACAATTCATATAAATAGAATCATATATATGCCTTTGAGACTATTTCTTTCATTTAGCATGATTTTTTTCCCAAGGTTTATCTAAATGCTGTAGCATTTACCAGTCTTCATTCCTTTTTAGGGCCAAATAATACTCCATCATGTGACTACACATCTTTGATTTATCCATCCATCCATCAGTTGATACTTATGTTTAGATATTATTGTTTTGTCTTAAAAATCAGAATCACATGCAATTTATAATTTATGTTATCAATGTCCATCCCCCTTTAGCTATCTTTTCTTTTAAAATCTTAAGCAAAAGATTTCATATCTCTCTATTCTGTAAGTAATCAGAAATACCTAAAAATCAAACGCCTGACGGCTGGTGTAGTAGGTTAATCCTCCGCCTGCAACGCCGGCATCCCATATGGGCACCGGTTCTAATCTCAGCTGCTCCTCTTCCAATCCAGCTCTCTGCTGTGGCCTGGGAAAACAGTGGAAGATGGCCCAAGTACCTAGGCCCCTGCACCTGCATGGGAGACCGGGAAGAAGCACCTGGCTTTGGATCGGCGCAGCCCAGCTATTGTGGCCATTTGGGGAGTGAACCAACGGAAGGAAGACCTTTGTCTCTGTCTCACCCTCTCACTATCTGTAACTCTACCTCTCAAAAAAAAAAAAAAAAATAATCAAATGCCTGGCGCTGGCATTGTGGTGCAGCAGATTAAGCCATCTTCAAGGCCAGCACTACATGTAAGAGCGCTGGTTTGAGTCCCAGTTGCTCCACTTCCAATCCAGTTTACTGCTAATGGACCTGGGAAGGCCATGGAAAATGGCCCAAACGCTTGGGCTCCTGCCACCTATGTGGGAAACCAGATAGAGTTCCTGGCTCCTGGTTACAGCCTGGTCCAGACCTCATTGTTGTGTCCATTTGGAGAATGAAGCAGCAGATGGAAGCTCACTTGTTTGCTTGCTCTTTTTCTTTCTCCCTCTCCCTTTCATTCTCTCTCTATGCTGCTCTACCTTTCAAATAAATAAATCTTTAAAAAAAATCCTAATTTCTCCCAAATATATCAAGTAAGAATCAGATGGCCAAGCTTTACACAAAATAACACACTTCTATAAGTCTAACAGCTTCCTGCAATGGCTGGATCTTCCTTCTATAACCCTTCTGAGATGTACATGTACATACTTATTTTTAAGTTATTCAATAAATCTTTTTAAATAATCTGTCATATGACAATTTCAAGAAAATCAGTAACATACCTTTCTCTCAGTTTTTGTGTGTGTTTTGTTTGTTTGTTTGTTTTTTACAGGCAGAGTGGACAGTGAGAGAGAGAGACAGAGAGAAAGGTCTTCCTTTGCCGTTGGTTCACCCTCCAATGGCACACTTCTGGCTCTGCACCTTCACTCATCAGTAGAATACACTTTTCCTTGATCTGCCAGGGTTTATGTCCACTCCTAAATGAAAACGCTTCCTCTGGTCCCAGGCACATGCTTCTAGCATACTATAGCAGAATGAACAAGTCTGAAACCAAGCTCTGCAATTCACCACCTGACCATCAGGGATTTACTCGGTCTAGCTCAGTCTGGTCCCCGAAAGAAGTCATCTGTGAAGAAGGCACAACAGTCCAGACTACTGAAGGCTTCTCGGAAAGATTACATGAAACTAACTGAATACTGCCAGGCACTGTTGCCTTCAGATAAAAGGACTTAACATGCTACTGATACCATAAGGTACAATTTGACCACCGCAGCTTAGTGGGTATCCGAATAATGAAATCAGATCTATCTTGAAAATGAAGTAAATGACCAACCCTCACACTGTTCAATGTGATCACGCAGATGGCTACCCTTCATGGCATGTCACTTGTCAATCTGTAGACTTAAGCCTATTTCAAAAACAGAAACTTGGGGGCCAATGTTGTGACATAGCAGGTAAAACTGCTGCCTGTGACACCGGCATTCCATACGGGCGCAAGTTTGAGACCCAGCTGCTCTACTTCCAATCCGGCTCCCTGCTGATGTGCCTGGGAAGGCAGTGAAGGATGGCCCAAATGCTTGGGCCCCCACATCCATGTGGGGAGACCTGGAAGAAGCTCCTGGCTCTTGGTTTCGGCCCGGCCCAATCCTGGGTGTTGCCGCCATTTGTGGGGTGGACCACCAGATGGTGGATCAATGAATCTCTCTCCCTCTCTCTGACTCTGCCATTCATATACATAAATAGTCTTTATTTAAAAAATGGAAATTGTCCTACATAATTTCAAACAAAGCAAAATGTCACTGCCAGCGACTATCCCGCAGAGAAAGCCGTAAGAAAGGCTCTCCCCTACCTTGTGGGTTATCCATTCTCGTCCATACTGATACACGTTGTTAGCTGCGGAATTCAGGGCCCTTTGGACCACCTGTGCCTCGGGAAGCCAACTGAAGTAAAATAAATAAAAATGAAATCAGAAACAAAAAAGTATGCTTTTAGTGTACTGTAACAATTATGCTTTGAACGTGATGCACGTAAGCAATTAATAGCAGACCAATTGTTGATCAGTCATCAAGGCAAAGATACAAAGCAGGATTTCACAAGGAGGAATCCTTGACTTGCAGGCTCAACTGGCCTAATTCTAAGAGTCAGGGTTTCCCTTCAAACTTTCCGTAGCTTTACACCCACTGCCTCCATAACCTGCCTTGCATTCTACCCTGGGAATTCTTTCTCTGTCTACACGTCCGGGGTCATTTGCTCAATTCAGCACCAAGGGAAGTAGTTCTGGGACACTGGGATATGCGGATCTGGGACAAGGTTCTCAGTGTGGTCCACAGAGCAGTAGCATCAGAACTGCTAGGAAACCTATTAGAAACTAAAATGCTTCGAATCGACCTCAATCTGCTGAATAGAAAACTCTGGGGCTGGACCCTGCCCTATGCACCTTAACAAACTGCAGGTGATTTTGATGTGTAATTAGGGTTTGAGAAACGCTGGGCCAGGAAAGTGAACTGGGGAAGAGCACAAAGCAGTAAGAGAATGAATAATTATTTTCAATCTTTAATTCACAGAAGACCATTTGTGAAAGATTTATTTATTTATTTGAAAGTCAGAGAGAGAGAGAGAGAGACACAAGGTGAGGGGAGAAGGAGAGGGGGAGAGAGAGATTGATCTTCTGTTTGCTGGTTTACTCCCTAGATGGCCACAATGGTCAGGGCTGGGCCAGGCAGAAGCCAGGAGCCAAGAACTTCTTCCAAGTGGCAGAATACCGGTTTGATTCCCAGCTGCGAATGAGAATGCAGCTTTTTTTTTTTTTTTTCCACTGCTCCACTTCTGATCCAGCTCTGTACCAGTGCAACTGGGAAAGCAGGGGATGATGGCCCAAGTACTTGGGCCCCTGTCACCTATGTGGAAGACCTAGATGGAGCTCTAGGCTCCTGGCATCAGCCCAGACCAACCCCAGCCATTGCAGTAATTTGGGGATGACAGAAGATCTCTCTCACCCTCCTCTGTCCTATCATTCTGCCTTTGAAACAAAAAATCTTTAAAAAGGGAGCAAGTGAGTCAACTGCCTCTGACAACCACACAAGTTATGAGGACTAAAAAAGCGATGGTCCTTTCCCCAGAAAAACCAGGTTAGAGGTAGGGGAAGACTGGGGTGGGGATCAATTAAGAAGTAGACTGTCAAATTAAAAGTGGGTTGAATCTTAAGAACTAACACTTCATCCTACACTCTAAAAGCTTAAAGTAGAGATCAATTTGGGCAAATTCCTTAATTAAAATATTTCTCAGCAAGACAAGATTTTAGAGACACTTATAATGATTTTAAAGTATAAGGACATGAACATGAAATTTGGTTCACTAAAGAGGAATGTGATTTTGGAGAAGTTAATTTAAACAGCTTTTAAACTACTCTGGTATTTATACACTTAGCAGTGGCCTGAATAAATTGCTGAATACTTTTAATTATGAGGTACCATACTTTCAGGAGGAAAATTACATCCTGAGAGTTAATTCAAAATGTGGAGACTCACAAAGACACAGGGAAGGCTCACCAGTGGCTGACCAACTTTAGCCAGGCCTGAGGAAAAGTCTCGCTGGCAGCTGAGAACACACTCTCCATCAATGTTCTCAAGCAGGCGTCCAGAGAGAGAAACAGGTGATGACAGCTGTTGTGAGGCCAAGTCCAAGGCATTGGCTCAGTCCCTACCTCTCCATAATGAATGTCTTCTGGGAGCCACAGGGCCAGAAAACCTGAGTAACCTTAGCTGGGATGAACTGGGATGCGCCTCGGCCTCATCCTATCACACAGCCACAAAGCTGAGCTCTGTTGGAGTCTTTTCACCACGAAGTCTCCTACTCCCCGTGCACAGAGCCGCCTCAGAACGGTCTTAGGAGTTCGTACTGCCTGCCCTCGCCCTTCTGACCTGGCCCGACAGAGAACAGCCATGTTTTAAAATGATTTAATTCAGGGGCAGGTGCTGTGGCGCAGCGGGTAAAGCCGCCACCTGCAGTGCAGGCATCCCATATGGGCGCTGGTTCAAGTCCCGGCTGCTCCACTTCCGATCCAGCTCTCTGCTATGGCCTGGGAAAGCAGTAGAAGATGGCCCAAGGTCTTGGGCCCCTGCACCTGCGTGGGATAACTGGAGGAGGCTCCTGGCTCCTGGCTTTGGATTGGCGCAGCTCTGGCCATTGCAGCCATCGGGGGAGTGAATCAGCAGATGGAAGACCTCTCTCTCTTTCTCTCTGCCTCTCCTTTTCTCTGTGTAACTCTGCCTTTCAAATAAATAAATAAATCTTTTAAAAAATGATTTAATTGAGTCTAGCAGGTTCCTTGCTAGGAAGGGCAGAGCTGGGGGACATTCAGTACCATGCCAGTGCCATCTCCTAATGAGGAACCTGAGAGGCAGGAATCAGTAGAAAATAAAAAAGTCCCCACACTAGCTGAACTGTCTAAGACAGGGATCAGGACGTGCTCCAACTTCAACCTCATGTGTCGATGCTCCACTGAGAGGATCACCTACTCTTTCTAATGCATCCAACAGGTCACTAGCACATCCACAGGAAGCTGAATCACTACGCAGGACATATAAAATGCACTGAGCTGGAGGAAAGTCCATGTTATTCTGAACTGCATGTCTTCTACCTGGAGGATCTACCTGAGATCCCCACAAGGTCAAGTGCTCTCTGCATGACAGGAATCCACTGAGCACTGAGAGGTTAAGGGAACTATTATTATCATCTCAAGTCAAACTTGTAAAACCTGAAGACGGTCAGTGCAGTACACCAACATCAATGTCCAAGATTCGTTATTGTATTACAGTGATGCAAGGTGACCACCTTGGAGGCGGTGGGGTGAACAGTACACAGCATCTCCCCGGACACATCTGTGTGACTCCCTGGCCATCTATGATTATTTCAAAGTTTTAAAGCAAAAAACCTTTCTACAATTACCTGATCTGGAGCTACTCAAGCTGTGTGTGCCTTCAGGACAGCAACAGAAGTGCTGTTACAACTCAAAACCGGTATGGACGGGCTCTGGGTTTATTCCTACTATGCAATAGTGACCACCAAAGGAAGGAGTGCTCTGAAAGTTAAGGCTGGGACTGAGCCCTGGACGGCAATACCTAGAAGAAAGACTCTCAGCCCTTGAAAGGTGCTACCTACCTGCCTGGGACCCAGGTGGCTCCTTCCTAGAGTCTAACAGCTTGCCCATGTTGCTTCTCTCCTCCTCCCATTCTCATTTCAAAAATGTCTTATGTCCAAAGAGCCAGAGGCAGAAGACCTCACTTCCTACTTTGTAGGTGCCTCACCCCCACTTTCCTCATCCCATGCCACTATACTTGCAGTATTTACCCCACCCCCATTGCGGCCTGCTTTCCCCATTTGTTCACTGATCCATCTGGCGCTTCCTCCTCAGAGAAACGCACTCGCTCCTGGTATTTTCAGCCCCCTCCCCCTCCATTGCACCAGCTCGCTCTTTTTCTTTCTTTCTTTCTTTCTTTCTTTCTTTCTTTCTTTCTTTCTTTCTTTCTTTCTTTCTTTCTTTCTTTCTTTCTTTCTTTCTTTCTCTCTCTCTCTCTCTCTCTCTCTCTCTCTCTCTCTCTCTTTCTCTTTCTCTTTCTCTTTCTCTTTCTTCTTTTTTTTTTAACAGGCAGAGTGGATAGTGAGAGAGAGAGACAGAGAGAAAGGTCTTCCTTTTGCCATTCGTTCACCCTCCCATGGCCACCATGGCTGGCGCGCTGCGGCCAGCGCACCGTGCTGATCCGAAGGCAGGAGCCAGGTGCTTCTCCTGGTATCCCATGCGGGTGCAGTGCCCAAGCACTTGGGTCATCCTCCACTACACTCTCGGGCCACAGCAGAGAGCTGGCCTGGAAGAGGGGTAACCAGGAAAGAATCCAATGCCCCAACCAGGACTAGAACCCGGTGTGCCGGCGCCGCTAGGTGGAAGATTAGCCTATTGAGCCGCGGTGCCAGCCAACCAGCTCTTTCTCTCCAACATGTAAATGAGGTTCCTCTACCTTAACACACCCCCACAACTATAGTTCCCTCCAACCCCTGTTAGGCTCTCCCAGGCCAACGGAGCAAAGAACAACCTTACTCACTTTCTCCACCACTTCAGTTCCCTAGATCCTCTCTTCACACTGTGGTCTTTGGCTTCTGATCCACCACTTAACATGCACTGTTCTTACAGTGGCTACATCCAATGTCACCTGTATTTTTTGTGTAGCAATTTGACATTGTTGACCACTACCACAATCTCAGAGTTTTCCCTGCCCTTGGCTGTTCTCTTATAGTCCACTCTCATTCTGCTTTGCCAGGTGATCATTTTCTGTTCATGCCTAAAGTCTGAAGGTGACCCTGAGGACACAGACCCAGTCACCCTCTCTGTGAACTTTCTTTATCCTGATGCTTCCTAGTTCCAACCTAGAACTCTCACCCTATTCCTAGACTTACAAACCATCTGCCAATAGAAACATCAATCCAGATTTCTCTACTGGACTGCCTACCTACATAGCCAATGGCCTACTAGATGCCTCCACTTACACTTCCAATAGACACTTCAAACTCAACAGGTAAAAATTAGTGAAGGGTCAGTGTTGCAGCCTAGTAGGTTATACCATTGCATCCCATATGGGTGTCAGTTCGAGTCCTGGCTGCTCTAATTTTGATTCAGCTCCCTGCTAATGCATTTGGAAAAGCAGCAGAAGGTGGCCCAAGTACATGGGCCCCTGTTACCCACATGGCAGATAAAGAAGAAGCTCCTGGCTCATGGCTTTAGCTTAGCCCAGTCCCAGCTATTGAAGCCATCTGGGGAGTGAACCAGTGGATGAAAGATCTTTCTCTTTCACTGTAACTCTGACATTCAAATAAATAAATCTTAAAAAAAAAAACAAAAAAAAAAAAACCTGCTATTGTAGCCCCATCCCAGCAGTTACAGGCATCTGTAAGTGAACCAGTGGATGAGAGATATCTATTGTTCTCTAACTGCCTTTCAAATGAATAAATAACACAATATGGGAATATGCCAAGATTTATAGAATAGAAACTTGAGAGGCCCATGTTATACTGGAAAGCTCCCTACAGTCGGTCAGAAGCACCAGTTCTAAGTGCTGCCACTGCCACTGTGGGAACATTATCTCAAATTCCTTAACCTTTGACCCGGAATCTTCATTTCTGAAATAAGGATAATCTCTTTGATCTACACTTAACAGTAACTGGAACAGCAACAATGTAGGTAAAAGTGGCGCTATGGCGCAGCAGGTTAACACCCTAGCCAGAAGTGCCGGCATCTCATACAGATGCCTGTTCAAGACCCAGCTGCTCCACTTCTGATCCAGCTCTCTGCTATGGCCTGGGAAAGCAGTAGAAGATGGCCCAAGTCCTTGGGCCTCGGCATCCACGTGGGAGACCCAGAAGAAGCTCCTGGCCCCTGGCTTCAGATCAGTGCAGCTCCAACAGTTGCAATCAATTGGGGAGTGAACCAGTGATGGAAGACCTCTCTCTCTCTCTCTCTCTCTATGCCTCTCCTCTCTCAGTGTAACTCTTTCAAATAAATATAAACCTTAAAAAAAAGTGACTGTAAATTATAAACATGCTGTAAACTGTAAATCTCAACTCAAATATAAGGTAAATTATTCCTAAAATCTTTTTTATTTATTTATTTATTTATTTTTGACAGGCAGAGTGGACAGTGAAAGAGAGAGACAGAGAGAAAGGTCTTCCTTTTGCCGTTGGTTCACCCTCCAATGGCCGCTGCGGCCAGCATGCTGCAGCCGGCACACCGCGCTGATCCGATGGCAGGAGCCAGGTACTTATCCTGGTCTCCCATGGGGTGCAGGGCCCAAGCACTTGGGCATCCTCCACTGCCTTCCTGGGCCACAGCAGAGAGCTGGCCTGGAAGAGGAGCAACCAGGACAGAATCCGGCGCCCCGACTGGGACTAGAACCCGGTGTGCCGGCGCCGCTAGGTGGAGGATTAGCCTAGTGAGCTGCAGCACCGGCCTATTCCTAAAATCTTAAGCACTTCATCATACCCTCCTCAGTATTATTATTTTGTGGTATCTACAAAAGTGACAGCATTTATCAAAGCTTGGCAAACCCCATCTTTTATTTGCCAAAGGGGATACTACAATGAAGATCATTTCTTGCAGGGACTAAAACTAGGTCATCCCAGTTGTTCAAAATAAAATTCTTACTTTGCCCATTCAGGGTGATTTGCTAGGGTTTCATTAATCAAATTACTTGTGACTTCAATCATGTGCACGCTCTCTTGATGTACCTGTATTACAAATAAAGAGAGAAAAGAATCTGAATAAAAGGTAAGCTCAATCTAACATTAATTTTTGTACTGTATTATTAGCCAATGCTTTTAGAGCAAAGTAACTATACATCCCAGTTTGAATTAATGTAGAAACAAGCTCTGAAACATTGCTATATTTAATGTCCACAGTATGATACACACTATGGGAGATAGGAAGTATGATAGCTCCTTGCCTTTAAGGAACTCAATAATTCATTTATAAAAAAAAAAAGGATGTGTTCAAATACCTAACACATACAAATATATTTCATCTGCATATAAATGAATGTAAGCACACTGTGTATGTGGGTGGTTGAGTATCCATAGAAGCCATACCAACACTGCATGAGCTGACTGAATTATAATGCAATGGGACATGCACAAGCAAATAAGCAACTGAGGAAGCTTTCTGAGTGAAAGTAGCCACCTGAAATGCACCTCCGTATTTACCCTGCCCAATGACCAACAAAATAAACATGGGGGATAAAAAAGGAACACCTTAACTGAAAAAAAAATTTTTTTTAATTCATGACAATTAAGGTAAGAAATACAATGTGATACCATTTGGAATGCAGCAGTGAGGCAGAGAAACAAAACATTCTGGAACACAAGGAGGCAGCATAACTGCTCCTCCTCCTCAACTGACCCTAACACCCAGAAGACATTGATGGTCTGCCTACTTCTTGAGACTCACACGTGTGCAAATCCAGGGCAAAGAAGCCATATCCACATCCTTTCCTGGCTGAAGAGCAATGGGATCACAGTGCAGAGAAATGGCCAAACCAGGGAAAGGGGTCAGCAGCCACTCATCCCTACCCTGTGGCTCTCCTCCTCTGCAGTTAAGTCCCACAATACGCAAGGGATCGCAGGAAGCAACACAAAGAGTAAGGATGGAGATGACCTGAACCCAGTGTCAGGAACACTAGGGCAAGTCATGTACCAAAACTCAGAACAGAGTGCAGACATCCTAACAAAGACACAGTCACCTAAGCCATCACCCCTATCTAATTCCATCAGTGCCAGAAAAGTAGGAAGAACACACACACAAAAAGCCAAACCACATCTTGAAGAAGAAACAGACTTCAGGGAGGGAATCAATTCAACTGTGATACCAGAAAGAAGTTGCTGCCTATCTGGTCATTTTCCAACCCCTTCAAATGGTGTTTTTAATAATTTTATACTGTTTTATTCTTATTTTCTCTGGAGAGGAACTACCTGACATCCTTACAATAAGACCCCAGGATAGTGCAGTGCAGCCAAAAGGATTTGCCAACAAGCTAGATTTGAATTCAAACAAAGAGACAAATCAATAAATCTTACAAAGAAAAAAAGAAGAAGAGAGCAATCAAGGATGACCTGAGGTTTCTCATCTGAGCCAGCAGAAGAATGGAGCTGTCATTTACTGAAATGGAGAGAACATGAGAAAATAGATAAGAGGGAGGTCTGGAATTCAGCTTCTGACATGTGATATTTGAGATGTCTGCTAGACACTCAAATGGATTCTTGTACAACGTTTGGGAGAATGCCTTTACTGTCCGAAGAGACTAACTAGACAACCAGTTTGCATGAATCCTGGACCAGACAGAAAGGTTCAGCAACACTTGTTACCACAGCACAGGGAAGCAAAAGCTTGTACTGGGAGGAAGAAATAAAAAGGGCTTGAGAGATGAACGTAACTGAGATGGGCAGGCAAGACCCTGTGCAAAGGGACAAAGGTGGGAGAACAGAAGGAAAATGAAAGACCCAGACTAATGAAAGGTTCCTCTAAGAACCAGAAGAGAAGACTGCTGAGTAACAGGTTTAGTAGAACACCACAGAAACAGAGAAAGGCCTCTAAACACGTCCATACAATATATACAATGACTGTAGGAGATTCAGAGCCAACGAACAGGTAGGGACTGCACAGAGGCTGAACACCAGTTCTAGGGAACAAGTCGTTAGGAGCAAATGATAAGATAAATTTGAAGATATGCTGAGGTTAAAACTGACTGAAAACAGGAGGAAAGCCACATAACAAAGATCAATGCAATTCTTCAGTAGAGTACTACATAGTAGATTATTGGTAATAAGGCCATGGCAGAGAGCTGGGTTGGAAGTGGAGCAGTCAGGACTCAAACCGGTGCCCATATGGGATGGCAGCACTGTAGGTGGTGGCTTTACCTGCTATGCCATAGAGCCGGCCCCAGGAGGAAAAGTCTTAACCAGGAAAGGAAGAGCCAACAAAATGCAGGGGTAACCATCAGTAAAGACAAAAATTACAAGTAGGAAGGAGAAGGCCAGTAGGGTTAGGGAGAAAAAACAAAGAGACTGCTCAGTACAATTAAACAGGCAAGCCCAAATCACAGAAAAATATTAATGCATGGTTAACCTGAATTGTTACACACTCACTGTATTAAAAGTTAACACGGAAGAACAGTTACTGACAGATCTCTAGGACTATAAGAAAAATTTTTATCATCATGATTATGAAAATCCCTTGAAAACAGCACATTGAGGTTGGTGCTATGGCACAGAGGGTAAAGCTGCTGCCTGCAGTGTTAGAATCCTTTATGGGTGCCGGTTTGAGTCCAGGCTACTCCACTTCTGATACCGCTCTCTGCTATGGCAGGGAAGGCAGTGGAAGATGGCCCAAGTCCTTGGGCCCCTGTACCATGTGGGAGACCCAGAAGAAGCTCCTGGCTCCTGGCTTCAGACCAGCCCAGCTCTGACCTTTGCAGCCATTTGGGGGAGTGAACCAGCAGATGGAAGACACCTCTCTCTCTCTCTCTCTTTCTTTCTCTCTTTCTCTCTATGCCTCTACCTTTCTGTAACTCGGCTTTTCAAATAATAATCAATATTATTAAAAAAAAACTTTAAAAAAGAAAACAGCACACAAAGTCTAGGATGTGAAGTTCAGATAAAATCCAGATGAAAATACACTATAAAAGTCATAAAAATGAATGTCACTATGAAATATACTATGAAAGTAAAATTTTAGCTGCGTTTTGGGGAATGATTTTCTCTGATGAGATAAATGGGGGAGAAAGGACCTGTAAGGTGAGAGGACATGGAAAGTAAGAAATAAAGATCACCTGGTACATCAGCAGAAAGACATCACCTGTTCTATGAGCTAAAAGACCGATGAGACAAGAGGGAAGGAGCTAACCAAGAAACTTGATCTAGTGAACATGGTACTAACTAGGTTAGGAGTCACAAGATCAGATCATAATTCTTTTATGGGGGGTGGAGGTGGTAGAAGCCACCTGTTCTTCGGCATCTCATTTTTTTGTCTGCATTAATCCTTGAGGAATTTGATAAAGTCAAAATCAAAATATATATAAAGGAGGTTTAAAAAGAAAATATATAAGGCAAATTCAGGGCAAAATGAGTAACATAGAAATCATAAACAGTTTAGCTATTATATATAAGTCAAGTAACATTTTCAATGCTACTTCTGCAGGCTTCTTATCTATACTACAACTCTATAACTTTATAAACAGCAGTAGAAATTGTACTCTACCTTTGCAGTCAGGAGTAGGGCTAGAAGAAGGGTTCCTATCACTAACAGAAATATGATGAAAATGCTAATAATTTTATCTAACATCTTCTCCAACCAGATGATCATCTGCATAGAAATAAAAAAGAGAATTATTTATCTTTAAAGTACAATTTAACAAAAACATTTATTTATTCAAATATCAGGAAGACAAAGGATATTCAGCATTGCAAAGCAAACTATGACATAATGATTAAAGCAATTAAAGCTGCAAGCAACTTTAGAAAATTGACAGGATTAATTATTGTAGTTAAATGAAGCTTATTTTTATTATATCTAAAAAGAAGCAGCCCATTTGAACAAAACCTGTGTTTGAATCCTCACACTGTGGTGTATCTACATTTCAAACTATAATTTATAGATTGCAAATATCCTAATGGCAATCCATTAGCTGAACTAAAATCTCAATAAGTTGTATAGTCAATTAGCAAACAGAGGTGACTTTAAAAGAGAAAGGCCCTTATAATATAGGTATGTCCTGTATTATACAGATGAAATAGGAGCAAATTAAAATGAGAATTATATTCAAAATATTGCTTCCTTTTTATTTCATTGGGGTTTCAAAACAGTCATAATAAAAATGTAATGTTAGGCAATGATAAACAGTAAACTCAGGATAATAGACATCTCAGGGGAGAAGGGTTTGGGAGGCAAATGCAACTGGGGAGGGAGGAAAGGAGGGGTACAAAAGGAACTTCAATCACATAGACAGTTTTATCAAGCTTGGGATGGAGGGCAAGGTAGGCAAACAGGTTAAAATATTTTTATAAAGTATGTTAAAATGAAATGCTTCTGAAATCTGATATTTCACTTGAAGTTTCTATTCATCTGAAAACAGAAGTTTTATGACATAATTAAGTGAATGTAAATTAAAAATAATCAATGTTGTGGTTGTTCCTTAATCAATAAGTAAATCATACAATCCCTAAATGCTGCATTCCATCTTGACTGCTGCTTCCTTCATCTTACATGATCACGAAAAATCCTACATTCTAAACAACTGTGCTTTTCAGAACACATAATTCTGATAGAGTTCTTAAATGCCTGCCCTGTAAAGCATTTAACATTTCAAGACTACATTTAATCAGATTAATAACTGCTGGAAAACCATGCTGTACCCCTCAACCTCACGAGCTCCTGCACTGCTAAACAAATTATGAATATAAACCTGAATTATGCTTTCCAGTCAATTAAACATCCAAGAGCGGCCGGCGCTGTGGCTCACTAGGCTAATCCTCCACCTAGCGGTGCCGGCACACCGGGTTCTAGTCCCGGTCGGGGCGCCGGAGTCTGTCCCAGTTGCCCCTCTTCCAGGCCAGCTCTCTGCTGTGGCCCGGGAAGGCAGTGGAGGATGGCCCAAGTGCTTGGGCCCTGCACCCCATGGGAGACCAGGAGAAGTACCTGGCTCCTGCCATCGGATCAGCACGGTGCGCCGGCCGCAGTACAGCAGCCATTGTGGGGTGAACCAACGGCAAAAAGGAAGACCTTTCTCTCTGTCTCTCTCTCTCACTGTCCACTCTGCCTGTCCAAAAAAAAAAAAAAAAAAAAAAAACCATCCAAGAGCAAGGAATGTTGGTTTAAAAACCCACACTATGACGCAGCAAATCAAGCCACGGCCTGTGATGCCAGCATCCCATGGCAAGAGCATGGATATGAATCCTGGCTGTGCTGCTTCAGATCTGCGCATATGAAGGCGGCAGAATATGGTCCAGGGCTGTCACCCATGTGGGATACCCAAATGGAGCTCCTGGCTCTCGCCTGACTCCCACCTTGGCTGTTGCGAACATATGGGGAATGAACAAGTAGATTTAAGATCTCTCTGTGTTCCTCTCTGCCTCTCTGACTTTCAAATAAATAAATCTGTTTTGTAGGGGAAAAAAAAATTTACTTCTAAAACATTTCCTTTCCACTCAGTGCTTATAGGCTTGTGACCCCCCTTATCTTTTTTTCATGAAAGACACAGTCACTAAGAGATCAATGCTATAGGGAACACAAAGATAAAAAGTTAAACTTTAATCTTGACAATTACAGCTTCAAACAAGAGTTAATTTTCAGGGCATGCTACCAAAGCATTAAAGACAATGGCAGAGATTAAAAAAAAAAAGGAAGAACAGGCTTCTAAGATATGGAAGGTCAGATGCTGTATTTTGAAGGTAAGTTCTCAAATCAACGAAACTTAAGTTTCACAATCAGAAGCCAACTTGAGAGTGTTTCCTGAGGAAAGCAGTAGTGTGCTGCATCTTCAAAACCTGACAAACAGCACGTTGCCGTAAGCACACAGTTAATGTGTGTCTCAATAATGAAGCATAAAGAATTTCAGAATTAAGACCAGATTTGTATCCCCAATTTACAATATACAAAAATAACAGGAGCCCAGCTATTTCTGCAGAGGAGTCATAGCCTGGGGGCCAGGGCTATGGTGTAGTGGGTTGGCCATCCCATACAAGCATTGGTTCCTGGCTGCTCCACTTCTGATCCAGCTCCCTGCTGGTGCACCCAGCAAAGCAGAGGAAGATGGCCCAAGTCCTTGGGCCCCTGCACTCACGTGGGTGACTTAGATGAAGTTCCTGGCTTCCACCTTGCCCAGCCCTGGCCATTGCAGTTGTTTGGGGGAGTTGAGACAGCAGATGGAAAATCTCTCGCTCACTCTCCCTCCATCCCTCCCTCCCTCTCTCTCTCTGTAACTCTTTCAAATAAATGAAATAAATCTTTCAAAAAAAAAAGTCATAGACTGAAACATATTTTAAAATGCAAATGATGTTCTACTTAGGAAGAATGGCTATTTAACTTTATGTCTGAGTATTTTTAACATAAAAAGTATAAACTATTCACATATTCTGTCATAGCATTACAATTGATTTTAACTTTATTTTACTTTAAGCTATGGTGGAATATTCCTATTACAGGCATTTACATAAGGGTTGGGAAAAAGTCACACTAACAGTCACCTAAATAAAAATTTATATCCAGGGCCAACTCTGTGGCATAATAGGTTAAGCCTACACTTGCGGCACCAGCATCCCATATGGGTGCAGATTCGAATCCCAGCTGCTCCACTTCCAATCAAGGTCCCCGCTAATGGCCTGGGAAAGCAGTGGAAGATGGCCCAAGTGCTTAGTTTCCTGTACCCACATGGGAGACCCGGAAGAAGCTCCTGGCTTCTAGCTTCAGACTGGCCCAGTTCCAGCTGTTGCAGCCATTTGGGGGGCGAACAGTGGATGGAAGACCTCTCTGTCTCTAACTGTGCCTCTCAAATAAATAAATCTTTTTAAAAATTTACATCCAAGGGATAGCCATCTAACAGATTTTTCAAATGAAATCATTTAAGATACTCAATAATAAGCTAAAAGATTTTTTTTCATTCACACTGTGGGCAGCTAAAATAAGCTACAAAGAAAGTGAGCTAGGGAATAGTAAAGGAGACAGAAAAAGAGTGGGAAAGTCAGAGACAGACATGTTAAAGAATAAAAGGGGGATAGAAAAAGTCAAAAGAAAAAACACTGCTGGTAGAGGGAGTTGGTGCATAAATCAAGGACCAATAGATGGGGCTAGTGCTGTGACGTAGTGGGTAAAGCCGTCATCTGCAGTGCTGGCATCCCATGTGGGTGCCAGTTCGAGTCCCAGCAGCCCCACTTCTGATCCAGCTCTCTGCTATGGCCTGGGAAAGCAGCAGAGGATGGCCCAAGTCCTTGGGCCCCTGCACTCGTGTGGGAGACCTGGAAGAAGCTCCTAGTTCCTGGCTTCGGATCGGTGCAGCTCCAGCTGCTGCGGCCATCTAGGGAGTGAACCAGCAGATAGAAGACCTCTCTGTGTCTCTGCCTCTGCCTCTCCGTAACTCTCGCCTTTCAAAACAATAAATAAATCTTTAAAAAAAAAAAAAAAAAAAAAAAAAGCACCAATAGAGATGAAAAGACAAAGCCTAGAAAACTTAGATGCAGGAATAGAAGAACGACCCCTGAAAGAGTAAATAAACACCTCACAGAGAAACAGAAACATGCTCTCTAAAGAGCATGCAGGAGAGAAAAAGAGACATGGGCAGAGGAGGCAATGGTGAAAGGGAAAAGAGAGATTTCCTGCCCCAGAGATGCCATCCCAGGAGGCTGACCCGGTCAGATGCCCAGCTTTGTGCAAAGGAAACCAGACCACCTCTACCTGCCTGGCTACCACCTCCTTATTCACAGCAAGTGCGGGGGGCCTAGTAACGTTGCTACTCTTTGCATGCATTGAGAAGTAATTTGGATTTTTTAAAGTTTACTTTTTAAAGTGAAGGGGGAATCATTTTAAAATGACATGCTCAGTACATTTTTTAAATTTAGAGCTGTCGAGAATTTTATAGTTACACCTTGACTTATTTATCAAGCTATTAAGAAAGTATCATTCTACTATCGAGTTTATCTCCTATTATTTTGAGCACATAGGTTATTGGGTTTTTTTAAAACCAAATTCTAATTGAGTCTTAGTGCAGATAATCAATATTAAAAAGTAAACAATTAAGCTCTGAGGAAACAGAGGTTACATTTTGATTAACCATAAGAAGTGTGATCTCACCCTCTCTTCTGTTTCCTAATTCATCACATTAAAACTTTTTTACATCCCCAACTTACCCAACACCTCCATTTTCTGACCTTGGATGTAAGGTAATACAACAGTTCTCAACTTATTTATGTGCTTCCCTAGAACACGGAAGCTCAGAATTTCAAGCAGTTACTTCAGCTCCGAAGCAATGCTTTATCTGTGCTATGCAGATCACCAAAGAAAATAAAGAACTTACTTTATCTCTTAGGAATCTTTCAAAACAAACTCAACCACTCAGCTATAAATCAGGCTAGTACACTAGGTAATCTAAGTCACTAAGTGCACCGAAGGACAGCAAACAGAATCTAATCACTTTATAGCTCTCCTTTTCTCCCATCTCTCGAGGACAATCTCCCATCAGTAGCCTACATACAAATTATGGAAATACACAAAACCACCTACTTCGATTAAAATTGTGAAAAGTGACTTATGTTTTTGCACACCATCTGCCATGGATTGAATGTACTTCCTCACAGAATTTTAACAAGGAAAGGAGGTATTGACAAACATGCAATGGGGGTGGCAGGAGAGCTTACACATCACTTGTTTTCAGTCATCAAGTTTTCAAGTTTAAAACTTTAGGCATTGCCAAAAATCACCTCTTCCCACCATTTCATTAGAAAAAAATTTCTACTCTCTAGATTCAAAAGTCTCATTTTTATTTCTTTTCAAGAAATATATCTTGTTTAAGGCCTGCTTTAATATTTCCACTGAAGACATTTAGAGTGTTATGTTTAAACACAATGTGTATAAATGATGCCATCTCTTGCTACTTGCCCTATGGATTCACTGAAATCAATGTAAGTACTACTGTGTGTGGGCTCTTTGTCAAAGGCACAATATTCCTAATATATCTGGGGTAGCCTATATTAAAATTATGCAAAATTTATCACAATTCCATGCCAATCATGTGAAGCATTTGCCACAGACACAACCTCATACATTGAGTAAAACACAAAACCAGATGTCACAGCCATGACCACAACCTGCTTCAAGTTCAAAGTAAAATTCTGTAATGTCAGTTAAGTAAAATAAGAATTAAAAAATGTAACATTACCAGACAATGGAACCCATAAGTATTACACAATTTCTTTTTTTGAAAAAAAATTTCATGTGTAATTTATAGAAAAAGTAGCAATAAAGAGTCTCTTTCCTGTATAGCAACTATTGCCCAACACTTTCACACATCAAAGGAGACCAGAGTAACAAGCTGAACCACATTACAGAGCTAACAAGGAATGGAAATCACTTACAATGGACAAAAAGACTACAAGACAGTCTTCTTACAAACACCTGGAGAAGGGGATACCACCCAGATCCTTAAGTAGCCTTTGTTGAATTTTCAGCAAATTATACTTTGATAGAATTAATACTTCACGACCTTCCATAGCTTATGATTAGAACTTTGAAAGCAAAACTTTAGTTTGACAAATGGATAGAAACAGAGTGAGAAGGGAGTCTGGGTGGAGGGGAAGGGGGTGGTTAGGAGGGTGAAGATATCACAGAATTAGACAGTAAAAACCAACATCCGTGTGTCCATTTACCTTCTTATTTAGCCAGTGCCAGAGCTTGAGGGTAGGGGGTAAAGCGAGGAAGAGAAGATAAGAACAGTGGAATATCATTAGAGAATGCAATAACAGTATGGAAAGAAGAAAGTCACTGAGAGCATGAGAAGGGAATCGTCCAAAGGAAAAACGAGGGGAAGAAACAGCAGTGCATTAACAAAGTCTTCAAATCAAGAGAAGGTAACATGTATTTAAGACAGATACAACCGAAAGGATGACAGTCAAGCTTTACTGGTAACCAAACAATTAACAATAAGAAATTTAACCTGAATTCATGAAGGCTCAGTCCCTGTGCCTTTGCACTGTGCCATCCACCTGTTTTCCTGGCCGTGCCCACCTGGGAAATTCCTACTTGTTTTTCAAAATATGCTCTGGCATCACTTCCTCTGCAAACCCTTCCCCATCCCTTAATAGAGGGTCACTTTGTCCATGTCCTGTCCATACCTTCCCTACACAAATTACATCAACAGTTAACACACAGAGCTTACTGTATGCAAGGCACCGATTTAGGGAGTTACATATATTAATCATTTAACCCTCACAATCATTCTATGAAGTAGGTGCATCTTATCAATAGGGAAAGCGAAGCACAAAAAGGTTAAACTTGCCCAAGATCCATGGCTCCTAAGTAGCAAAACTGGGGCTGGAAACCAGAGTATGGATTCAGAGCCCAAGCTCTTTAACTACTGTGCCTCTGTGTGTAACCACTGCCTCTGGACCTTCAAGAATTGTTGGTTCTTTCCACCAAACAGAGCTTCTAGATCTGGTTTTTCATCATTCATCAGTTTTCACCGACACATGAGGATTACTCCAAAAACATTCACCGAATTAAGTCTTTACCTGGTTATACAATTTTAGGTAAGTCACTTAACATCCCTGGCTTTCGGTTTGGTCCTAATGAAATGAAGGAGTAGAACTAGATATTCCATAAGCCCCTTCTCTCTCATTTTTGACAGGAAAAAACACAGTACTTACTTAAATCAAAGCCATTCTAAACTTTTATAAATCATAATTCTAAACTTTCAAATTCTTTAATCATAGAAGTAGAAATTGAATGTGTTACCAACAGTGACAATACAAACACTGGAATGGAATGCAATGGAATATTTCCAACTATGAAACACAAAAACTGCAAATAGCCCAAACTCTTAAAAATACAATACCTTGCTATCAACTTTTAGCAGGAATTTTCCAAGTCCAATAATTGGCCATGGTGCCAGGGCTTCCTGTCGCTCCTTCAAGAAGCACTCGACAACCCTCCACCACACGTGGCAGCGTTTTTCCAGAAAGTCCACAACTCCAAAGTGAATGACAAGCTTCTTGAGTACCCAGACTATAAAGCAGATAAAAAACACACAAATGTAAACAAAATACAGATTATAAAGTTATGAGAAGCTTCCTTAACTGCACATGGCCTTTCTAAATCAGTAAAGCCAGTATTAAAATAAAGATCAATATTATAAAAAACGGGGAGTGGGGGAGTCCAAGGGATTCTTTTTATTTTTATTTATTTATTTTTTTTTTTTGGACAGGCAGAGCTAGACAGTGAGAGAGAGAGAGAGACAGAGAGAAAGGTCTTCCTTCCGTTAGTTCACCCCCAAAATGGCCGCTACGGCCAGCGCTGCGCTGATCCGAAGCCAGGAGCCAGGTGCTTCTTCCTGGTCTCCCATGCGGGTGCAGAGCCCATGCATTTGGGCCATCCTCCGCTGCCTTCCTGGGCTACAGCAGAGAGCTGGCCTGGAAGAGGAGCAACCGGGACAGAATCCGGCACCCCAACCGGGAGTAGAACCTGGGGTGCTGGCGCCACAGGCGGAGGATTAGCCAAGTGAGCCGCGGCACCGACCAAGGGATTCTAAACAGATGGAACTGGGCCAAATAACTCTTCCCTCAATCCCCACCTGCTCACGTATTATCTTCGTTGTGAATTCTGAATCCCTGAGTGTGCATGGATTATTTTACAGTCCACAGAAACATAAGACACTCTTATCATGAAGTTTTCAGTGACTACAGTCTTGGACCTTCACATCTTCCCCCTTCCTGGGAAAAGAGCACCAAGCTCTGACATTTCTTATCTCACTGGCTATTGCAGCTACACTTGCCAAATTTTGTTCTTTTCCTTAGATTTAGTGACCAGGTAAATATAGGGCATTCCATACGCATCAAGATTTTATACCACTGCAGGGTAATTTCACTGTTCCTGTTTCCCCACTTGATGCTGTCTGTATTTGTGAGAAATGCCAGGAGTTGGTAGAGAAGCCTGCTGAGTATAAGCAGGGCTACCGGAAGTGGGCTCTGCGGCTGTGCACTGTGCAAGTCTAGTGAGGGCCACTCAGGACCACAACAAGCATGTCTCTCCCCAGAGCTGGGCAGTGCAGCAGCACTCCAAGCAGGTCCTCAGCTTCCTGTTCAAAGCCAATTAAGAAGGTGGTGGGGGCAAAATGAAGCATTGTTGATCCACGAGGCTTTAAGTCTGGACAGTGGAAAATTCACCCAACTACTATAATTTCTCTAACCCCAAGGAAGGTGTCCTTAGCCTTGGCCTTATAATCCAAGGTTCACAATTCACTATTCTGAACCAAGAGTTCAGCGTTATACATCAGTTCTGCAATTCTGACATTAGCGTTTTTAAATTCCTAGGAAAAGCTCCAACGGTTTCTAGACTAAGCTCTGGATAATTACAGGCTGTAGAAAACCCTGTTCACAACCAGCTCTCCCAAGGCCATGTCCGATTCCTATGATGACCAGAGGGGCTAACATATGACTATGAGAAATGTAACACAATTTTAGGAAAAGGGGATCCCAACAGCACTTCACATGTGATTTGCTAACATAATGCAATCATCCAGAAAAATTGAAAATGCGTGGAACAATCTAGAAGAACAAGTTAAACTATGCTTCAAAGGATTTCTATAACAGAATGCTTGGTCATAATAGATACTTTATAACTTAATTACAACAGTATCTCCTTCTAGCTGCATGACAGCTGTTCTGTTGAGAAAGATGTTGGTACAGATTTCAAGGACAAGCACTATACAAGTCTCTGGTCATGAAAAATGTTTAAAATAATAGCTAACTGACTACCCAATTTAATGAGAATAATACATGATAAAATGAATAATCTAGAAAGTAAATGGAAGGGCTGGCACCGTGGCACACTAGGTTAATCCTCCACCTGCAACGCCGGCATCCCATATGGGCACCAGTTCTAGTCCCGGCTGCTCCTCTTCCAATCCCGCTCTCTGCTACGGCCTGGGAAAGCAGTAGAGAATGACCCAAGTTCTTGGTCCCCTGCACCTGTGTGGGAGACTGGGAAGAAGCACCTGGCTCATGGCTTTGGATCAGCGCAGCTCTGGCCATTGCGGCCATTTGGGGAGTGAATCAATGGAAAGAAGACCTTTCTCTCTGTCTCTCCCTCTCACTGTATGTAACTCTACCTCTCTAATAAATAAATAAAACCTTTATAAAAAAAAGTAAAATGGAACAATAAAGTTTGGGTGACTTCTGGACTACACAGGCAGTCCAAAATTCAGACTGTTTCAACTAATATCGAAAAACTTGACAGAAAACAAAGACTCACAAAATTTGGGGGGTACCTGAGTGGCAGAATCCATGGCAACCACTGAGGACTTAATATTTAGCATAATATGATTACAATAAATAATCAGGAAAGTATCAAATAAAAGATGCTTTTAGATTGAACCTAAGGCAGAGAAAACTCTTCCTTATCCTTTTCAGTCTTAGAAAACAGCTTTGTGAGAATCAACAAGAAAAGTAGGCCTTAAATTGCCACAGTGTTAGGGAAAGAGACCTGGTTCAGTGATTTACGGAAAACCATACAACTGTGTCTTGATATAATACACATATAATTCAACTTTTCTGCCAAACTAAACAAAACTTTACATATACACACAAGTGCTTCTGAAAGTGTACATTTCCTTTGAATTAAAAATGCAGAGTCAAATATGCTTGTCTAACAGCAGCTCTCAAAATTCCTTAATAAACCTCAAGAACCAAGATTGTTGTGAATCTTCTCCACACAATCACAGTTGGCTGAACAGTCAACTCTCAACTAATCCCAAATACCACACAAGACTATCTTCTTATAGGCTAAACAAATACATTTTCTTTTCTCTCTTTTTTTTTAGGTTTATTTATTTATTTGAAAGTTAGAGTTACACAGAGAGAGGAGAGGCAGAGAGAGAGAGAGAGGTCTTCCATCCACTGCTTCACTCCCCAGTTGGCTGCAACAGCTGGAGCTGCACTGATTCGAAGCCAGGAGCCTCCTCAAGACCCAAGGACTTGGGCCATCTTCCACTGCTTTCCCAGGCTATAGCAGAGTTAGATCAGAAGTGGAGCAGCCAGGACTCGAACCGTCACCCATATGGGATGCCGGCACTGCAGGCAGCAGCTTTACCTGCTATGCCACAGCGCCAGCCCCAACAAAATTTGAAAGTGAACTATTAAAGATGTATTAAGGGCAGGGCCGGGCGCCGTGGCTCACTTGGCTAATCCTCGGCCTGAAGCGCCAGCATCCCATATGGGCACCGGGTTCTAGTCCCGGCTGCTCCTCTTCCAGTCCAGCTCTCTGCTGTGGCCCAGAAAGGCAGTGGAGTATGGCCCAAGCGCTTGGGCACCTGCACCCGCTAGAAGACCAGGAAGAAGCACCTGGCTCCTGGCTTCGGATTGGCATAGTTCCAGCCGTGGCGGCCATTTGGGGGGTGAACCAATGGAAGGAAGACCTTTCTCTCTGTCTCTCTCTCTCAAAGATGTTTCAAGGGGCCAGCGCTGTGGCTCAGTAGGATAATCCTATGCCTGAGGCACCAGCATCCCACAAGGGTGTTGGTTCTAGCCCTGGCAGCTTCTTTTCCAATCCAGCTCTCTGCTATGGACTGGGAAGGCAGTAGAAGATGGCCCAAGTCCTTGGGCCCCTATACCTGCTTGGGAAACTTAGAAGAAGCTCCTGGCTTCTGGCTTTTGGCTTCAGATTGGCCTAGCTCCAGCTGTTGCATCCATCTGGGAAGTGAACCAGTAGAAGGAAGACCTTTCTCTTTCTCTGCCGCTCTCTGTCTGTAACTCTACCTCTCAAATAAATAAATAAAATCTTTTAAAAAAAAAAAAAAAGATGTTATCAAAGGAATAATTCTCCCAAATAATGTTAATTCATTATTTAAAGTCAAACATAAGATTGTTTTATTTTAAAAGACAGTAAAATTATCTGAAATATTAAAATGCAACACTAAAAGACTTCAAAGACAAGACGAGAGCATAATTAAGCAGATAATGACCTGCAACAGGCACTGGTAGCAACTGCACAATCCACAGGTTCAGCCAGATCTGGACAACAATGATGGCCCACACGAGACACACAAAGTAGATGTCACTCGTTTTCTTCTTTCTAAGGAACGTTCCCATTTCAGGCCTTGGTCTGCCCAGGGTTGGGGAAGGAGAGGAAGCGGAGGACAACGTTGGAGGAGGCTCTCCACTGTCCATGGTTTCTATGGTGAGAAAGAAAAAAATCCACACACCAAGTTACTTTAGGAACAGCACACAAAGCAGTTCACAGGCCACCCTGTTCTAAGCCTCCAAATTGTACTCTGAGTCCAGCACACAAGGACCTGGTGTGTTTGCATAAGCAATGGAAAGTCCTGGGGAAGTGCAATCTGACAATGCTCAACTCCAGGGAAATCACGTTTGTTGGGGGATAGGGTTAGGAAACAGATTTTACTTTTTACACTTTGTACTATTCAGCATATACATATTTAAATAAAGGAAAATACATACCACAGCAGCTGAGAATTATAATTACCCCACAAAAAGTATCCAAACCATAGAAAGCAACAAATACTAACATATACTACAATGATTGCATTTAAAAATTCTTCCTTTAAAAATATAGTAGATAAAACATTAAATTACGTTAGATGTGTCATATTTCTGACACAGTACAATATAACTTTTCAGTGTCATTTCACCTAAAAAGTGACCAACTGCTCTTACAGGAACCTAACACTTTCAAATATGTATTTCTGCTTGAATGAGATGTAAAACAATGACAGACTGCTAGGATGAGGAACTCTCAAAAAAGGAAACCTTACCAAGACTATTTCTAGCAATACAACGATATGTTACATTTTACTATTAGGTTCTACATTTCTGTTTCTTAGTTTTAACAAGATATTATCATAAATCAGATGTCCAGTAACTCTGAAATATTATTTGATATACATCATGATGACAGAAACTAAGACCCTAAAACTTGCATTTTACCTATTAAAAGAAGTTAAATACAAAAGTATATCATGGGGGCCTGCATTGTGCATAGCAGGGTAACCCACCGCATGCAAAGCCAGCATCCCATGTGGGCACCGGTTTGATTCCTGGCTGCTCTACTTCCAATCCAGCTCTCTGCTAACGCACCTGGGAATGCAGCAGAGGATGGCCCAAGTGATTGGGCTCCTACACTTAAGACCCAAGAAGTTTTTCTGGGAGACCTGGAAGAAGCTCCTGGCTTCATCCTGGACCAACCCCAGCCATTGCAGCCATTTGGGGATTGAACCAGCAGATGGAAGACTTCTCTCCCTCTCTTTCTCTAAGTCTGCCTTTCAAATAAATAAATAAATAAATCTTAAAAAAAGTATATCATGCTAAAGAAAGTCAGTAAAAAGAAAGAATATCCATAGTCCCAGCCTCCGATTTGACTCTCACACAGCTCCACACAGCTGTCCTTTGTCATTTTCTCCCTGCAGTTGAATGTCAGCTCAAGAGAGCTAAGACCTACGCTGCCCTGTTCTCCTTCCACTGAACCCCTAGCACACAGAACAGTACCTGTCACACAGCAGGCGCTCAATAAATACTTATTGAATGAATAATGTCATGTTATTTCCCTTTTTATTTACTTTTCCTTTTTAGTCGAAAGAAAAAAATACAGAAAGATCTTCCATCTGCTAGTTTATTCCCCAAATGCCCACAATGGCAGGTTTGGGACAGTCTGAAACCAGGAGCCCAGAACTTATTCCGAGTCTCCCTTGTGGGTGGAAGGGACTCAAGTACTTGAGTCATCACCCACGTGCTGGCTCCAAGTACATGTTAATAAGAAGCTGGATGAGAAGTGGATTAATTGGGATTTGAACCCAGGTATTCTCGATAAGGGATGTGGGCATCCCCAGAGGTAATTTAACTACTGCACCAACCCCCCTACACACTTTTCCCTTTTATCTTTTTAGTAGCCATATAGCAGCCCACTGACTGCAGCATCAAAGCTTCCTAAGTGTTTATTTTAATACTAAATGTTAGCTGTTGAGTGAATTTTTACTACTCTGATAACTTGCACCATGGTAAGTCAGTTCACCTCACTAGAACTAACATTCTACCCTGAGGTTTAAGGCTAAAGCCCAGCCTATTACAGCATGCTTTTGTTTGACTTTGCTATCTGTGTTATCTTTCTAATTTGGAAACCTCAAGTCCATGGGTATGGCAGATATTGGGAAGAATAAGATCATAACCAAAATTTTGGAAGCATGATTCAATGTGCAAGAAAAGTACGTGTTCCTTATGACTCCAAATGCCTACCTCTTGGTTGATCCCTTCCCTCAAGATGTTTCTAAAGTCAGTTCTTCAAGAAGGGCTCACTGTAAATATTCCCTAATCCCAAACACCTCTGGCATTAGTGGAGCTCTCAGCTCACAGCAATGCCCGTTTACATTCCTGAACTCTGTGACTGTAAAGCTCCTATAAGCCACAGCTGGATCTGGCTCAGGACTGCAACTCCAGAAGCCAGGCCACATAGAACAGAACCCAGAGGGATCTGTTTCAGAAGAAAGAGCCAGTGTTAACAGCAGAAGGCAGGCAAATACAGCTTTTAGCAGAAATGGAAGACAAAGAATGCCAGAGAAATGACTAGAAGAAGGAAAAGCCTTCCTTCTGGCCCCAAAAAAGTGAGTTGGAGAAACAGAACAAAAGGAAAAGCACCATGAGGCAATGGAACAGAATGCAGGAGAAGTGTTAGTTATAGACAATAAGGAACCAAAATGAGGAAAGCATAAGTGTAAAAGGTATATGGGGCACGAAAAAAAGGAAATAAAATGAAAGTGAAAAGAAGGGGAGAAGGATTTGGTGCAGCAGGTAAAGCACTGAGTGGCATGCCCACACCCCTATCAGCGTGCTTGGCTTGTGTTGGCTCCGCTTGATATCCAGCCTCCTGCTAATGTGCACCCTGGGAAGACAGCAGATGATGGCTTAAATACGTGCTTCCCTGCCACCCACATGGGAAACTCAGATGGAGTTCTGGCTCCTGGTTTCTGCCTGGCCCAGCCCTGGCTATTGAGGATATTTGAGGAGTGAAACAGTGAATGGAAGGTCTATCTGTCTCTCAAATAAAATAAAAATAAATTTTTGAAAATTTAAAATTAAAAAACATGAAAAAGAATAGCATAAGAAACCCAAGAAAGCAAATAATTAAACATACGGGTGCAGGCATTCAGTACAGCACTTAAAAAGCTCCCTGGGATACCTGCATCCTGTAACAGAGTGCCTGGGTTTCAGTTTTGACTCCGTTTCGGATTCCAGCTTCTTGCTAATGAGCACCCTGGGGTACAGCAGGTGACAACTCAATAACTTGAGTCCCTGACACCTGTATGGGAGACCTGGATGGAGTTCCCAGTTCCCAGCTTTGGCCTGGCCCAGTCCTGGTTGTTGTGTTGTGGGCATTTGGGGAGTGAACCAGTGGATGAGAGATATACATCTCTCTCCTCCCCAACAAGTAAAAAACAAAAACAATTTCTTAAAAATTATGAAAAAAAGTGATGCATAAGAACAAAAGGGGAGGGTGGAGCTTTGCTGCAGCAGGTAAAGCTACCACCTGCATCCCATATGGGCACTGGTTCTAGTCCCAGCTGCTCCACTTCTGATCCAGCTCTCTGCTATGGCCTAGGAAAGCAGTGGAAGATGGTCCAAGTCCTTGGGCCCCTGCACCCACATTGGAGCCCCACAAGAAGCTCCTGGCTCCTGGCTCCTGGCTTCGGATTAGCACAGCTCCAGCCATTGCAGCCATTTGGAAAGTGAACCAATCAACTCTCTCTCTCTCTCTCTCACTCTTTCTCTCTCTCTCTCTGCCTCTCTGTAAATCTGCTTTTCAAATAAGTAAATAAATCTTAAAAAAAAAAAAAAAAAAAAAGATGAGAGGAGAAAAGGTGTAAAAGTAGGAATCAGAGGGAAAAAATGATAAACCAGCAAGAGTCAGCAGCATTTTGTGTTGCTAGTGTCCTTAACTCTGTTTATATTTCATTTTCCAGAACAACTCTGAAAGTCCTCTTGACATGGGTCACCTGCAGGCTGAGTGGAGGGCTGGTCTTCACTGCTTGACTCATATCCTGTGATAGAGATGGCCAAGTTTGCTAGAGTAGAAGCCGCCATGGAGATGACTTGCCCTGGTAACTCTGCCCCTGTAAAAGAAGTTTTGACAGTTTTTAAGAAAATGATCAAAACAGGAAATGAATGTTGCAAACTGCAAACTTAAACATAGTCTTACCTTTCCAACAGCAATAAAACAAAATGGGTATTAGTTAGCCCATTAGAACAGTGGTTCTTTACCAAAGGAGAATGACCAAGAATCAACTGAAAAGTATTATGAAAATTACAAGTCCTTGCATTCTTCCTCATTTGGCTCTGGCAGACATTTACTACACAGTCTGGGGGACTGGTGTTGTGGGGCGGCAGATTAAGCTGCTGCCTGTGACACGTGCGCCCCCTAACAGACTGCTGGTTCAAGTCCCGGCTGCAAATCTGGCTGTTGCAACCATTTGAGAAATGAACCAAGATATGAAAATCGATCTCTGTCATTGTGCCTTTCAATCTTTCAAATAAATCTTTTGGGCTGGTGCTGTGGTGTAGCAGTTAAGCTGCTGCCTACAGTGCCAGCATCCCATTCGGGTGCCAGTTCAAGTCTCGACTGCTCCATTTCCGATCCAGCTCTGTGCTAATGCTCCTGGGAAAGCAGCAAAAGATGGCCCAAGTGCTTTGGCCCTGCACCCACATGGGAGACCCAGAAGAAGCTCCTGGCTCCCAGCTTATGATCAGCCCATCTCTGGCCATTGCGGTCATTTAGGCAGTGACCCAGCAGATGGAGGATCTCTCTCTCTCTGACTCTCTGTCTCTGTAACTCTGCCTCTCAAATAAATAAATAAATAAATCTTTAAAAATAAATATTTTTTAAAAAATATACAAGTTTGGAATGCTATATTAATCATTTTTAACTTTACAAGTTGATTTTCCTGCATACTTCTATTAAGAAATACTGGGACACCAGGAATGTAGCACTCTGGTTGGACTGTCTGCCTCAATCTTTTTATTACTAGGTCCTAGTATAGTATGGGACTGTCTGCACTGGGTGCTCTCAGTAACATTCCACAAAGGAAAATGCAAATGTGTATTGATGCAAAACCATATAGATTTATAAAGCATATAATTCAGCACAGGCAAAATCTACCACTTGGAAATATAAAAGGACATCATGACCTTGCTTTATGTTGTATATTCCCATTTTAAGCTCCTAAGCTTAATCATTTGCATTGGATTTAAATAAAACATTTATTGATAAACAACATCCGTCTGGAATGGCCAGCATTTAACCTAAAGCAGACAACACCAAGTCCTAGCATGTTGCGTCCTCAAGACTGGAAAGCTAAAACTGTATTTCTTGGACTCTCTTACAGCTATCGTCCCGTGTGTTATGCAGTCTACCACACATGTACACCTGAGTAAGATCTGGAAGACTGAAGAGGCACCCCAGAACTTGGAAGCCCCCAGCTCTCATGTCAAACACAGTCATGGAGGCATACAGTGTGACTGCAGCAGACCTTCAGAGGTTCTGATGTAGGATCTCAAACTTGTAGGCAGGTGGCAGCAGCTGTGGTCTCTGCCCAGTCCTTTGGTGTCACTGTGCATTCTTCATGGTGGCATCTGTATTGGATGCAAGCTTACCTGTTTGGCCTTGCCAAAGACTCCACTTGCAAAAATTCTACATGCTAATCAATACCTCTATTTAAATTAGTTACAGTGGATTCAATTGGTCACAATGAAGAACATTCCTAGTCACCAAATCATATACCAATGCTCATACAGCTAGGATTTCACTTTTGGTAGGCAGGTCAATATGCAACGCAACAGTGAAAAGAATCATAACTCTTCAGTAGCCCGGTGAATTTCTACTCCAAATTAATTCCACATTCCCAAAATATCCAAGAATGGCCATATCTCAGGGAAGTGTGGGCCACAGGCCGGGATGGTTCTTCAGCAGATTCAGCCACACCGTGCCTTATCCTTCTTCTATCAAATGCCTATGTGACTTGAATGTTCACCTTCAGGGATTCTGAAAGAAATTCAAACTCACGGTCCAGGAAGAAAACATAACTATGAATATCTGTAGTGTATATGGCCTGTGTATCTAGGGTGCTTCTGAGATGCCAAGAGAGCAAGAGCTAAGAGAAAAACAGGTCCTCCATGTCTCACATGTATTCTGAGTTGGGATAAAGACACAGATCCTGCCCCCATGGAGTCTAGCGACAGGGACAGCATGTATTGAAGAACCACACAAATAAACATATACCAACCATAATGACTGCCATGAAGGAAATACCCTGGACATTCTGTGAGCGCATAGCAGAAGAAATCTGACTTAGCCTGGACAATCAGGAAAGTCCTCTCTTAAGAAGTGAGCACGGGGCCGGTGCCGCGGCTCACTAGGCTAATCCTCCGCCTAGTGGCGCCGGCACACCGGGTTCTAGTCCCGGTCGGGGCGCCGGATTCTGTCCCGGTTGCCCCTCTTCCAGGCCAGCCCTCTACTGTGGCCAGGGAGTGCAGTGGAGGATGGCCCAGGTGCTTGGGCCCTGCACCCCATGGGAGACCAGGAGAAGCACCTGGCTCCTGGCTCCTGCCATCGGATCAGTGCGGTGCGCCGGCCGCAGCGCGCCGGCCGCGGCGGCCATTGGAGGGTGAACCAATGGCAAAAGGAAGACCTTTCTCTCTGTCTCTCTCTCTCACTGTCCACTCTGCCTGTCAAAAAAAAAAAAAAAAAAAAAAAAAAAAAAAAAAAAAGAAGTGAGCACGGGACGGCGCCGCGGCTCAATAGGCTAATCCTCCACCTTGCAGCGCTGGCACACCAGGTTCTAGTCCGGGTCAGGGCGCCGGATTCTGTCCTGGTTGCCCCTCTTCCAGGCCAGCTGTCTGCTGTGGCCCGGAGTGCAGTGGAGGATGGCCCAAGTGCTTGGGCCCTGTACCCGCATGGGAGACCAGGAGAAGCACTTGGCTCCCAGCTTTGGATCAGAGCAGTGCGCCGGCCGCAGCGGCCATTGGAGAGTGAACCAACGGCAAAGGAAGACCTTTCTCTCTGTCTCTCTCTCTCTCTCTCACTGTCCACTCTGCCTGTCAAAAAATAAATAAAAATAAAAATAAAAAAAGAAGTGAGCATGGAATTGACATATTACATATGAGAAGCAATCAACCAAAGGCATGTAAAGAATAATCTTCTTGGCATGAGAAAGTGAGGAGGCTAGAAGAAGAACCTAGCTTGTTAAAGATAGGGAAAGGAGGTTAGCGTGTCTAGAACTCAGGCAGCTAGGAAGACACTGGCACTGAATACAGGGCTGGACAGGTCAGCCCAATGATGCAGGTCACAGACAAACACAGTGAGGACTTCAGCCTTTATCCTAAGAGGAGTGGAAAGCACTGGTGTTTCAAACAGGGATCCAACTACATGAGCCATCATATGCTGCCCCTCAGAATGCACATTAGCAGGAAGCTGGAATTGAGAGCAGAGCACGCACTTGAACCCAGGCATTCAGACATTCCAGCATGGGAGGCAGGCACCCCAAGCAGCAATTTTGTTTCAACAAATGCCCACCATGCCTTGATGGTTTTAAGTAACTCCAAAACAGGATCTTTTTTTTTTTTTTTGACAGGCAGAGTGGACAGTGAGAGAGACAGAGAGAGAAAGGTCTTCCTTTTTGCCATTGGTTCACCCTCCGATGGCCACTGCAGCTGGCACGCTGCGGCCGGGGCACCGCACTGATCCGAAGGCAGGAGCCAGGTGCTTCTCCTGGTCTCCCATGCTGGTACAGGGCCCAAGGACTTGGGCCATCCTCCACTGCACTCCTGGGCCACAGCAGAGAGCTGGACTGGAAGAGGAGCAACCAGGACAGAATTCAGCGCCCCGACCAGGACTAGAACCTGGTGTGCCGGCGCCGCAGACGGAGGATTAGCTTAGTGAGCCACAGCACCGGCCAACAGGATTCTTTTAATGCTCCTCAAATATGGACTCTGGCTGCACTTTGACAGACTTCCAAACACCCACCCATTAAGCATTCATTCACCAACGGGTGACTACACTACATACCAAATAAGGAACTAAGGCTTGGTCTTAAGTCCAGTTTAAGACCTAAACAATCAGTTATGACTCAGTATGTTATGAACTAATGTAAACTAATGCAGAATGTCTGGGGAGCACAGAAGATGGAAATCTAAGCCATATTGGGAGGTCAGAAAAGTGCTCCCAAAGGAGCAGTTCAACAAGAATATTAAAGATGCCATCCTTTCAACCCATTTAGACAGACATTAGATTAAAAAGGCAGAACAAGGTTACCTTGGAGAAGGGAGGCTGGCATCTTGGAGGGCAGGGGTGGGAAAGCGTTCCAGGGAGATGAAGAGTAGGTGCAAAGACACAAAGTCAAGACAAAGCAGAGGGTCCTCTTCAATGAACTCCAAGAAGTTCCATAGTTGAACATAGGGTACAGAAAGAAGACTCAAAAGGCACGAGGATGCCGAGGGAGATGGGTCAGAGAACAAAGGTCTCATAGTGACCATGCACAACGCAGGGGTCCAGAGCACAGGTGAGAATACAAGTCTACTTAAGTTTAAACCCAGGTCCATTCCTTACTACTTGGATGACTACAGGCAACTTATTTAGCACACTGGTGCTTCAGTCTCCCCAACTGTGAAGTGGGGTTCATATGATTCCTCTCTCATGTGAAAATTAAGTGAAACAATATATATAATGTGCTTAGAACAATGCTTAATATGTAATAAGTGCTCAATAAATGGTATCAGGGTAGGCTTTTGGCACAATGGGTTAAGCCATCACTTGGAATGCCTGCATTCCATATTGGGGGGCCTGTTCAAGTCTCAGCTACTCTGCTTTTGACCAGTTTCCTTCTAAACAGTGCTGGGAGGCAACAGGTGATGGCTCAAACATTTGACTCCCTGTCACCAACACAGGAGACCTGGATAGAGGTCAACCCCACCATGGGTGTTGCAGGCATCTGGGGAGTAAACTAAAGAGTAGACAACCTCTCTCTGTCTCTGCCACAGTGCCTATGAAACAAAAATAAACACTTTTAAAAATAGTTGTTAGTTATGATCAACATCATCTATAGCAAAATACTGGCTTTGA